GCAGAACAAGCTGCAGGCAAAGGAGACCTCGCCACACTCTACCAAACAACTAGGAACCTTTCGGGCAAACGTTCGACACAGATTAAGCCAATAAAGGACGACAATGGAAAGTCAATCACCAAAGAGGTGGAACAGAGAAAGCACTGGGTTGAACACTTCAAAAGACTTCTAAATCGTCCGCCACCTACAACACGTCCAGCAATACCAACAACGGAAGCAGAACTACCAGTGAACACTGACCCCCCGACGAAATCAGAAGTCCTGAATGCAATCAAGATGCTTAAAGCTGGGAAAACACCGGGACCAGATGGAATCCCAGCAGAGGCTTTGAAAATAGACCCAGAGACAACAGCGGACTTGATGACACCACTACTGGAGAAGGTGTGGAAAGAGGGCAAAGTACCCGAGGATTGGAAGAACAGTTACTTATTCAAACTTCCAAAGAAAGGAGACTTAAGTCAATGTAAAAACTGGCGTGGAATTATGCTTCTGTCCATTCCAAGCAAGATACTAAGTCGCATCATCCTGGAGAGAATCAAACAAGCCCTAGATGAAAAACTTCGTCCGGAACAGGCTGGATTCAGGAGAAACAAATCATGTATTGATCAAATCGCCACTCTACGGATCATCATTGAACAAAGCTTGGAATGGCAGTCACCTCTCTATCTCAACTTCATCGACTTTGAAAAGGCCTTCGACAGCGTCGATCGAGAGGTCATTTGGAAACTACTTCGCTACTACGGGGTCCCATCGACAATTATACACCTCATCCAACAGTTATACGACAATGCTGCATGCCAAGTAATCCACAACGGGAAACTTACGGAAGCCTTCGAAGTGAGGACGGGAGTGAGGCAAGGCTGTCTACTATCACCAATGATCTTCCTGATTGCAATTGATTGGATAATGCGACAGACAACGGCAACCAACGAGGGAACAGGCATAAAATGGACTGACACAAAAGACTTGGAGGATCTGGATTTCGCCGATGATATATGTCTGATTTCCCATAAACTGGAAGATATGCAAGTGAAAAGTAACAAGTTGGCAGAAGAAGCATCAAAGATAGGACTTCACGTGAACATAGATAAAACAGAGATGATGAAGATTCCTAGCCAACATCAACAGCAACAACAACAACAGACAACAATAAGCATAAATGGGAAGAACCTGAAAGAAACAACCTCCTTCACCTACCTGGGAAGCATCGTCTCAACTACAGGCGGAACTGACGAGGACATCAAAGCCAGAATCGGAAAAGCAAGACAAGCTTTCATTACTCTCAAATCTGTGTGGAGGTCAACAGCAATCAGCATCAAAAATAAGATCCGGATTTTCAACTCCAATGTGAAGTCAGTGCTACTATACGGATCAGAGACTTGGCGAGTCATAAAGAGCATCTCAAACAAACTTCAAACCTTCATTAACAACTGTCTCCGCTCAATACTCAAGATCAGATGGCCAGAAAAGATCAGCAACAGGGATCTCTGGGAGCGAACCAATCAGGAACCGATTGTGAAACAAATAGGCAGAAAGAAATGGAGATGGATTGGCCATACGCTGAGGAAACCATCAAGTGACATCACTAGACAAGCCCTCGAGTGGAACCCGAAAGGGAGGCGGCGAGTTGGTCGTCCAAGGGTGACTTGGAGGAGGTCATGCGAAGAGTTTATGAAAGCATGTGGACAGACCTGGAGCAGGGTGAAAAAGTTGTCAGAAAACCGAAGTCAATGGAGGTGCGCAGCTGAAGCCCTATGTTCCTCTAGGAACTAAAGGATACAATAATAATAATAATAATCGTATTATCCTATAGACTAAAAACCATGATTGGTTCATATATGAATTTTTATTTGTAAACTTATATATATTAGAGTTAAGCCTGATGAGATCTAATTGAAAACAATATTGTTCGCTTAAATGTGTTGTTCTAAATTTTACTATGGGAATATTTAATATATTGAAATCTCGCGGGGATCCTATTGCATTTAAGGCACTCAATGAGTACCTGAAATTTAGTGCAAGGCTCGCTGAAGCGAAAACATCGTTGGAATTTTTCAAAGAATGTGTAGAAACCGAACGTTATCCCAAACTATATTGGAGGTCGTTAAGACGAATGAGGATTTATCCTAATTCTAAGAATTTAAAAAGACATGCTCTTAATCAGATTGATTCTGTTAAAACTCTTATAAATGATCTAGAAAGGAATATATCACAAAGACAATTTTCAGTTGATGATTTACCTCAGGAATTACAATTGATGTTCATTGAATATGTTAATAACGTAACAGTAAACAGAAGTAATAATAAAAGGATTAGTCTTGTCAAATCTCTCGAAAGCCAAAAGCTTGAAAGGAAATTTCCGTCAGATCCGGGCCGGTATGTTCACAATTTTTCCAGTATCGTGCTTAATAAGTTTCAATTAGAGGTGTTATCCCTAGGTCCCAAATTTAGTGATTATGCTCCTAAAGTTGATCAATTAGACACTGATATACAGTTTGAAAATTTGTATTCTCAAACGTCAGATCTTACGCCATCGTCGGACGATGAACTAACTAGATTCAAAACGACGCTAGTGGACAGCTGCCAGCAATACAAGAATAATAAACATTCAGTAAATAGTCTTTTATCTAAACAACACAGAGAAGCTCTAAGAGAACTTAGAAGCAACAAAAGTTTAATCATTAGCAAGCCGGATAAAGGTGATGGTATAGTTTTACTGGACAAAAGCGATTATGTTGAGAAAATGGAAGGTATTTTGAGTGATGAAACTAAATTCCAATCGCTTGGTGTTTCCAAAGACCTCAATGGAAGAGCTGAGAAACAAATGACTGACTCCCTCAAAAAACTGAACCAAATAGGAGTATTATCATCAACCACGTATGAGTCCATGAAACCTACGGGTACCAATACTCCACGTCTTTACGGTCTACCAAAAGCGCACAAACCGGGTCTTCCTCTTCGCCTTGTTTTAGATATGTACAACTCTCCATTTCACGGAACAGCGAAGTGGTTAGTTAAGATCCTGGGTCCTTTGCACAGAGAAATTGTGCAACATAGAATTAGTGATGTTTTCGACTTTATTTCTAAAATATCCGAGACTAATGTGAGATATAAACGCATGTTATCCATGGATGTATCATCACTATTCACTAACGTACCGCTTTTGAAAACAGTGGATTATATTTGTCAAGAAATCACCGATAGGCAATTAGACTTAGGAATCCCCTTGTGTAGCCTCAAAGAATTACTTCTTAAATGCACAATGAATGTTCACTTCGTCTTCAATAATTCATACTATCGACAAGTAGATGGAATAGCTATGGGTTCACCATTAGGCCCAATATTAGCTGACTTCTTTCTCGCAAAACTTGAAAACGGGGAATTGAAGGATACCATCAAGGAGTTGGATATGTATTACCGATATGTCGATGATACATTTATCTTAGCTGATGAGAAGGTTAACACAGACGAATTGTTAATTAAATTCAACAACATCCACCCTTCGCTTACCTTTACTTGTGAAGAGGAGCAGGAGAATAAACTACATTTCCTGGATGCCTTGCTAAGTAGGAGAGAAGATGGGTCACTTGGGAGAAGTGTGTACAGAAAAAGCACATTCACAGGGCAGTACACACACTTCCTTAGTTACGTGCCCATTAAATATAAAAGGAATCTTGTAAAATGTCTCGCGAGCAGAGCAAGGAAGATATGTACGGAGGACCTCTTACAAAAGGAATTTGAATATATTCACGATTCCTTGACGGAGATGGGTTATCCGAGTAGTTTCATAAAGAAACATATGAAACCATCAGATAAGAAACCTGTGACTCTGACTGCACATAAGAAACCTCTATTTATTAAGTTACAATTTAATGGGGACTTATCTAGTGAGATTCTATTCCAAAGACTTTCAAGGAGCATACGTAGAACATTTTACGCAGCACACCTATGTTTGTCATTCTCTAGCCGACGAATGATTGGGACGCAAACGAAGGATAAGCTTGATAGTTTAGCCACATCTATGTGTATTTATCAATTCAACTGCACCTGCGGTGACAGTTATATTGGGCGTACTACTAGACAGCTTAGCCAACGTGTTAGTGAACATCTCCCATCGCGGTTTGACAAAGGACAGACAAAAACAATCCGAAGCTCAATTCTGTCACATCTAATTGATAGTGGTCATGTAGTCGATAAAACGAAAGCCTTCAAAGTAATTCATCGTATCCCTCCGAATCTTTCTAATAGACTTCGTATTCGTCTACTGCACACAGCTGAGGCGATAGGCATCCGAACTATTGAACCTAAACTATGCATTCAAAAGAAGTTCGTGCAGCCATTATCCCTCCCGTGGCCTAATAAGACATAACCAACGAAAGACTTCTACACCACCCTTTATTTATATTTCCAACCCCTTTCTTATCACCCCTTAATCTTATCTTATATTCATTATAAACGTGTTTCATTTCCTTCCCCTACAATCTAACATTACGTAATCGGTTCATTTGTTTTTACTAGCCTTTATCGACTACTTCCACCTGAACAATTGTTTGTTTAATCATTCTGTTTTTCATTATTCGTGTTATCACAGATTGCTTCATTTTTTCATCCTTATTATTGATAAGACCATTATTATTATTATTACTATTATTAATATTATCATTACCACTATTATGACTAACTGCACAATTTATATTCACCATCGTATTATCCTATAGACAAAACACCATGATTGGTTCATATATGAATTTTTATTTGTAAACTTATATATATTAGAGTTAAGCCTGATGAGATCTAATTGAAAACAATATTGTTCGCTTAAATGTGTTGTTCTAAAAATCACTTCATCTAACTGCAAACTTGACTTGAATGTAATGTAAGAGCAAGGCTGTATAATAGGCATTATTGGCGATTAATCGGCCCTTGAGATGCATAATTCTAACCAAGATAGGAGATGATCTATTTTTTCTCGCCCACGACACAGCCGATTGTTTAAGTACATCAACAAGCAATCGAATTGAAGTCGCGCCTTTGGCTTCACCTGGTTGTATACTCCTGACGATGTTCGATGTGACGGTTAAGACGTTAGATGGTAGGGACTCAGTCTTTCAAGTGGGAGATGAAGTGAGTACTAATTCTTTAATTTAAGTCACCAATAGGACATGACCGTTGAGAACTTCAAGAAAGAGATAGAGGAAAGATTGGTACGTTAATGTGAATTCATAATGAATATTAATATTTCTACCTATTCTCTAGAATATAGCATCAGACCAGCAACGTCTAATATTTCAGGGGAGAGTTCTGAACAATGAGCAAACATTGACTGAATGCGGTGAGTTGATGTCAAAAGGTGTGATAGTTTGCAGATGTCAGTTACATGTATACGTGGAATATTTTATGTGAATCAGTAACATTCTAGGGCGCTAGTATAATGGCTGCCGGATGTTGAAGATCCTTATCTTCGAACTTTTTGACAGCCAACTGGGCGCCGTCCGAGTTCCTTTACTGCATCGAAAAGTTTGTTTAGGTACCTAATATTAGTGTTAATTTCGTATATCACACACTTAATTGCGTTATGTGTGCTGTTTGCCGTGAATCCAGCCTGAATGAAGAAGATCTCTAAAAGAAGTAATCGCCATAACTTTTCACCATATTGACGTGTACAAGGGTGTCGCATTCTCCTTTCAAGATTGTTAATGCACATCTTCCTTTAAGTTGAACTTATGTCCTAGTATGAGTTTGAATCTGAGAACCCACTGGATTCTAGTTACTGATGTCATCATTAGATTTTTCACCATGTTCGTATCCACTTTAACCGATACGTCCCTGACTTGCACAATTTCAGGTGTTTGCCCTTATGTGCATTTATTTTCTTTAATGACAATATGCGTTTTATTTCGCAGTGGCGACTCACCATTTCGTTGTCCCTCTATACTTCTAAAAACATCTGCAGTGATTGTTTATTAATCCAGGGTTAGCCCTTTAGCAGGTTATGGTCTTTATAAGTTGTGTCACCCAGACTTTGCCTGGTTTTACTCCCTCTGTCTAACGCGTTTCACAGTTAGCTAAATCACATTGTTGGTGTCTTCAAAATCCAACGCACCGGTATGTGTAGGCACTTGATGATGGGACTGGAAAGTGACCGCTGATGCATGCCACTCATCCATCCTCAAAAACCTGGCTTTTTAATTTTATTATCTCTACTTATCCTTTTTGATCATATTTCATTTTCGTTCATTTCTTTTGCTTGTATGTTGTAAAGAGGAGGAATATGAAATGCCTTACTTTTGTTGCAAAAGCATGAAGTAAATATATTTACCGGATTACTGTCTTTTATTTTATTAATTCAGGTGTTCAGGGAAAAGTAGTACATTTGGTTGTAAGACCTCCTCCGACTACTAGAGAACACCAACCTACTGTCACTTCAACCAATGATTCAACAGCAAACATAGGTGGTTCCGGTTTAGGCGGTTTCACCTTTGGAGGTATAAGCATGCAGCAGGCGATACAGGATATTACCTCTGGAATACTAAATAGTGTGAACGAGCTCAGAGTTGCTAAGTGAGTTAATATTTACATCCGGATTTTTTTCCTTGCTTCAATTCATCCCTTAACTCGATACTTGCTGTTGCCCTATTAACTTGATATTCATGTTTGAAGTTTTATGAAAGCAAACTTTGAAGTCAAACAATCTAGTCACTTCACTGACCAGAGTAGTTTTGAAGTATCGTTAGTTAGGTGATTTTATCACTTTTTTATTACAGCTTGATTCCACACCCTGTTTTTTGGTACAGGTATGGAATTTCCAGCATGTGATAGCGGTAGCCCAAATTTTGCAGGCCAACCATAGATATCAGGTGTGCGTTGGCAGGGGATTGAACACCGGACCATGAGAGTGGTCGGCGAGAGTCCTAACCACTACCACCGACGCACATATATTTAGTGCTATCTCAGTAAAGACTCTTAACTACGTCATATGCGTTTTTATCACTATTATAAACAGATTTTATCATGTACAGAAAAAATAGGCAACAGATTTGCTGATGCTTTTTGTGTGCCGGAGAAAAATTAAATTTTTGGCTTCACCTGTTACAGCCATGACTCTAAGTAGTTTTTACTCAAAGTTTTTTTCATTACATTTTCTAATGAAGACCCTTTAAAAACAACTGTATTGAAATTCAGCGCATTTCTGATAAGGGTAGACGACCACGTGGTTATTCTTTTTAAAATATATCGAAACAAGATGACTGTGTAATCTAAAATCTCCTGACGGGATTTAAATCATTTGTACTGCATGGGTTATCACCAGAAAATAACTGAATAGCTGCCAAAAATCATTTTAGGTTAGTTCCTTGTAAAAACCCTTTTCAGTTTGATAAATATGGATTCACTATGAAAAAAGGAACTTAGGTAGGTGTCTTTAGAGTACTGAAATCGGTAATCTGTCAATCGAGGTACTCTTGCTATTATAGATACAGATGAAGAATTTAAGTATTTGCACCATAGCAGTTAATCCCTGGTTATGGTCATTACTACAAGAAAGCACAGAGTAGTTCCAGTTCGGTATACTGCCTGGACTCTCAGGCCGAAGCCGGTGGTCATCTTCAGTTCTCCCTTGTAAGCCTTAGTCTTTTCCACAAGGCAGTGGGGCAGCCTCAGGTGACCGATACAAGTTCACATGCCATTGGATCCTTTCAGATTTTGAAGTCCATATATACCGTAGTTTTGCAATCAGGGTTTTGTATTTCCTTTAGGTAGGTCTGCATGTCCACTAGTTTTGTCGTAAGCACGAGACGTCCGCATTCGATCTTTCACTTTTGTGACGAGTACAGCCACTGCGTGAAGACAGTGAGTAGGACTTGCTTGGCTATGAACCTGTGGTCACATAAGAGCATTTCGAGAGAATGATCGGTGTATACCCACGCTCGGTTGTATCAAGGTGTTTGTGGGAGCAGTCTTATCTTACTGACATCTCTTGTACTTTCGCAATCGTGTACTGAGCCATGCTACTAATGCTTTCAGTGTTTACAACTATCGCGATTCGCATACTCTCTATTATAGAGGAAAGAATTGTTTTTCTGGGTTTCAGTGGCACTTGTTAAGGGAGCATTAGAAAAGAAACGATAACCAACTGTATAATGTAAATGAAAGTCGAAACGGTTCATTCAGGTCTTTTACATTCACGTATTATTATAACTACAACTGCGCGCGGGATTTTATTACTTATTATTTTTTGACTGTTTTCTGTTAAAGTAAGTGTAATTACTTTTTCTCAAAATCCACTTTTTAAGGTAATGCATATTTGTTTTACACACTCAGATGAGTGGTAAAGCGTGACTACCTATTAATTATTTTTATATACTTGTGCACTCAGCACTTAATTTTTAACATATGGATTAACTTGGGAACTTGTGGGGTAGTGCTGAAAAATGTGTATGGAAACTTTCATATAGTATTTTTTTTTGGTGCATTATTCCCACCTCATTGTCACTAATCTCATAGTGTATCTTATTAGAGTTTCTACTCATTAGTTAACTTTTCCAAAGAATTTAATGTTATAAGGTCTTATAAACGTCTTTGGTTTCAAAAGTTGTCTGCTATTGTTCATTTGAAAACAAAACAAACCACTTATTTTGTTGTCTAAATTAACTTCTACTTCTCTTCAGCATACCTCTCTCAGGCGAGGCAGACTTAGTCGGTGATCCTCCGAATGAACAGTCTTTAATATCTGCGCGTGAAAATACTTTTAACAAGTTGCATCGACAGGCTACTCGTCTTGCACAGAAGATAACCCAAACCTCGTCTAGAGATGTTTGTAATTCTCAAGGTGTGAAAGATAAACCGGCAGATACTAATTTGACTCCATCGACATCGAATAACACAAGTGTGTTTACCGTTCAAGAACCCAAAGATGATGAGACAACTTTCGCTCTTAATGATATGAAAGAGGGTAAGCAGGAAGGTAATTCACCAGATAGATGATGATTTTAAAGTTTCAAACTAAAATTTGTCTAAGTTTTTGAATGTTTTTCTTCGTATCGAATTTTTCAAACATCTAATCCTAGGAATTGTATTTAACATATTAATCAAGCTAGTAGTTTTTTTACTTCCTTCATGTTCCCAGTGGAACATAGGGCTTTAAGCGAGTGGCCTGAAGTTTCTGTAGCAGTGTTTAATTTCACAGGATGGGGTTGCTGGCCTCATGCCCAACCATTCCTCTTACCAGCATTATTTCTGGTTTAGCTAGGTAAAGGAGTGCGTCGGCCGGGAATCGAACCCCGGACCATGTGCGCGGTCCGCGAGCGTCTTAACCGCTGTGCCACCGACGTACAGAGTTTTTGTTTAGTGTCACTGTTATTTGTTATTATGAAGGCACTTTATCAACAAATGCGTCGAAATTATTAACTATAACCTTGTGTCTGGCCACGTTATGAAGCCGGTGTTATTGGAGGTAACTATCTGTGAATGGATTGAGTGTAGAAAGACATAGTAATAGTAGTAGTTGAAAATTGAGTCACTAAATACTTATCTGTAAATCTACAATATGTTTCTCAATAATCATCCTACAACCAATAGATCTGGTTATCTGTTTGCATTTCGATATGTCACTGAATTCCGGTGTTATTCAGTGACTTTTTAGTCTATTATCTTATACACAGTTAGTTATTTATATATGCAGAGTTTAACTTCATGTAACATTCCTCTATTTATCATTTACGGTAATTATGTAACTGTTCAATAAGCGGTCAGTAAAAATTTGATTAACTTAATCCTTATCCTCCATGCAATTAAACAAAAATCCCTACAAAACCAATACTTGAAAATTAATCTGATGCTCACTAGTGACTGACCCTATTCAGGCAGTGACCTGGGGTTCTAGTGGGAAGCCGTGACCAGTAGGGTACAGCAGGTTTAAGATAATGTAGTAACTCATCGAAAAAGACATTGCGAAATGGTCGCGCTATGTCGTGCATTGGCAGAAGTTAGAATTCATGAACTAGTCATCGGATCGGGTCCCAGTGTCTCAGTGGTCTACGAGCTCGCCTTGTAACCAGAAGGTTCTGAGTTCGAACCGTGGTGGGTGGGTGCGTACTGGTGAGGAGTCCCAAAGGGCTAGGACGAAATGTGATAGAATTCTGTAGGTAACTTCCAAACTATATGTACTGTGTACTCGAAAGTTATGTTCAATGATTTGAGCTATACAGTACAATAAAGACCTGGTATCTACTTGTCTTTAAGCAGTATATTGTACGATACTGAAAATATGTTTTTTCTTGTTAGTCGTGTGTATATTGTCCGTCTGAACACGGATCCGTTAAAAGGAAAGACTGCGTCACCCGTCGATGTCTTTTCCGAGGGCGCCCACCAACTGACTGCATTTCAAATGAGATAAAGGATGAGCTCTATCAAAAGCTGTCTAGTTTGCTGCTGGTTGGTTTAGCCGACTAACTCAATGTCTGAGTAAGGAAGTTGTGTCAGTCTGAGGGGTGTGTTGGTGGCACCTACGGAGTTCTCTGCGGACGAACCGACAACGGTGATCGTCTTCTACAGTTCTGTTTAGACAATCATCTGTTCCTGGTCAGCACTACCTGGCGGTGACCTCCGCCATCAAACTAATGATATATGGATATAGACCATATAGCGATAAGCTATCACTGGCGACGGTCAGTAGAAGACTGCCGTTCCTTCTGGTACATGTTCGTGGACTCCGATCACACCCTGGTTCGCGCAACGGCCTAAAATCTGTTAGCAGCGAAGCAGTTACCTTCCGAATTAGATCAAGACACTGAGTCCCTATTTAAAAAAGAAGAAATAGCTAAGCACATATCTGAGGTTGTGACTGCAAGGCTCCTCCTGAGTAAGCCTGGCACAATATCCAGTCACCTGTAGGTACAGCTGTAAAGGCTGTTCATATGAATTGTGATTTCGTGAAAGAATTGTTGGAAATTAGTGTATTGGGGCAGATTAAAACATCCAATCACTTATGTCTAACAACTTTCTTAATTATGTACTGATGCATCGATGATGACACAACCAATAGCAAAGTATTACTTCTTTGACTCGCCGTTATATTGGACACTTTTGATGATATGCTCACCTTTCTTTTCGTAGACTGCAAACAGAAGGAATCATCACCTATGATGGTAGACACTGATGAACACGAAGAAACCGCAAATCGTGTTGACAATAATGATGCTGATGGTGATGAAAGTAAGAAGGCAAAAACTGAGGATAAAAATGTTGGAACTACAGAAGATAACTCAGCTAATCCTTCACAAGATCGTTCTTTGGCTATGTTAGCAGACATGCTCAGTAGATATTGTGAACTATGGCATTCAATGGAGCCATATTTAGACCAGTGGAGGCAAATGTTGATTGATGAAAGCAAGATTGTAGAGGTTGTAGATGAAAATGATATTACTGATGAAGAAGAGTGTATTGGCGAGTCATCATCATCATCGTCAGCAAATGTTCAAGTTCAAAGCAGTTCAAATCAACCAGTATCAAACTGGCGTCCACGGGTAACCTATAATGAAATGTTGTGATTTTTAATTATATATATATATATATATATATCGGTTTTTCACTTGTTTTCAAGAGTTAGTTTGTAGAGATTATTGATCTGTTTCAAGTGTGTTCACAGGTTAATGTCATTTTTGGAGAACCATTAAGAGCCACAGAGAGTACTGGACAACTGTTTCGTCCCAGTTTGAGACTCAGCAACAGCACGCCGATCTTACGTGCTGTTACTTACGTTACTTACCCATTTAAGTGTCAGTGTTACTTTATTTCTATCAGCATACCTTTTCGTCTGTGATGTCGTGTAGTCTTTAGTCTTTGTATGTGGAGTGTCTGTGAGTGAGTGAGTGAGTAAGTGCGGTTAGTCATTCTTTTTCGTAATTAAATGACATATTAGGATGGAAGAGTATGTCACAGATACTCTTGTATCTTGTTCACACTCATGAATCGGTGTTATAGTTTAAATTGAAAGTTGCAGGACGTATAACAAACAAGTGGTAAAACGTTGTACTTATTATAAAAGATTGTTACAGTGTTAGTACCTTCCTTGGCTTTACTAACCTGTGTTTAGGTCGGATGAAATAAAATATCTCTTATTGTTTTTCATTAAACCTTATGTAAAATAAAAGTATTGTCGAAGTTAAAGTATAGCGTCTGTCAGTCTGTCTGTTTTCGACATAGAACTTTGCACAAATGTGCGGAAGTTCAAGTCGCCACACTCCGTGTAGCACGCGAAGCAAGAGAAGAAAGTACAAGGAAAGCATAATAGAAACAGTGAGCAGAGGTGTGAGACAAAGGAATAGTAGTAACGAAGAACGATATAGTTTCATTGGAAATTATAAGTCACAAGGAGTGGATGCATTTGCGCGAGCCATTGAGAACGATTTTGAGCCATATCACCAATTGTTTCCAACCATTCATTAGTTTTTACCGTCCCGAGGATCCCAACCAGGAAGCCAGTATACACCTTCCTACGTGGCTTAGACCAACTGTTGTGGATTTCATTGACTGATGCCAAGTTTTTGTTTGACCGCCGCTAGCTTTTTTCCAGCCTGACCCTATATCCGCTAACATAGCTCGTCGAGGGAGGCGATGGCTTGGCATACGTAGCACATGTCCTAACCATCTCAGTCTTTGTAGCTTCACGACTTCGACGACCGAAAGCTGCTACCTTGACGTGGTGGTCGGGCTTGAACACCGCAATGATCTATTCAAGCTATACTGGCTGAGACTTATGTCTCTTGAGGTCCTACCATGCCAGGCAGGTTGTTTGGATAGCGGTTAAACAAAAAGCAGCTACCCAATCCAACATCATGTCCAATACAAAATCACAAAAAAAGTATAGCGTAGCTGCAATCAAGGTGTTTCAAGGTTGACCTTGAAGGACCAGTCGGATTAAGCGGACGCTTCGGAAGGTCAGTGCAAACAGAAACCATAGATATATGTGGCTAGTGATTACCGCGAAGATAAAGACAACAAATTCACAAGAGAACAAGAATTAGACAACGAAATCCCATTTTAGATGTCTTAATCAGAAGAACCAACACAGGAAATTTAGAAACACAAGTATATAGAAAATCAACACACAGATCAAATACTTAACTATACTAGCAATAATCAAATTACTCACAAACGAAACTGTATGCAGACATTGTTTAAAGGAGTTCAAACACATTGTAGCACTTCAGAGTTGAAAAGAATGGAAGAAAAATACCTACAAACGGTCTTCAAAAAGAATGGTTATCCACAAAATTTCATCAAAAAGTGTTTAAAGTTGAATCACAACACCAACAAGGAACCATCATCTAACAACACCACAAGAAAATTCATCCTACCGTATATAAAAAATATCTCTGAAATAACAGCTAGAATATTGAGACCGTTCGAAACAACACACAAGCCAGCCAACCAGCCACCACAATCACTTCATTTGATATTGTACAAACTGAAAGATCCAGCGGAAAAAGAAGATAAAATCAAAAACATTTACAAAATAAATTGTATGAGCCGTAACAGGCATTACATCGGCCAAAGTGGGCGTCCCCTTCGAATTAGAATCCAAGATCACAAATCAGCCGTGAAAAGATACGATATATATTCTTTAGTATCCATGTATATAAACAATTATGGACATCAGTTTAATTGGGATAATGTCGAAATCTTAGACAGAGGAAACACCAAAAGTGCAGTCAGGGAATTCCTAGAAGCCTGGTACTCAAACGAAAATGCAATTAACAAACACGTTAATATAGACCAAATATACCAACTAATAAAAAGTAAATCATGTAACCAGAAAGTTTAAAATCCAAGTCAATAGAAAATGATCAATACATATGTAAAGATGGTTACCGGGAGACGCAATTATATCACTCAGGAAGAAATTTAAATCATTTCACTTTATGCTAAATATTGCGCTGAAGATGTTGTCCAGAAGGACGACGGAAGCTTCGCAACTAAATCAACCAGCTCAGAGAACATTATTAATTCTAAATCTAACTACTGTGTTAATAATATATTAATTGCAGACTGATGAAGAGTTGTGTTTGTGGGGAGACTATGACAATAAAGTAATACAACATTGTTGGGGATAAATACACTGCCCTAGATGTAATTCATGCCATAAGAGGAAATCTGTTCATTTTACTCATACCTTGGTTACTCTTTTCTCCATGTCTAAGCTGTCTTTCTTTACGGATAGTCTACCCCTTATGTGCAGCTGAATTTGACGAAGGCCTGTACGGGCAGCCTAGTATCTACAGTGCAATGGTATCAGCATTGTAAAGAAAGCGTCATGGAGGTTGGTGGGGGGGATACTACTGGTTGTCTAGGTGGAGGAGTAGCAGTAGTTGTTCACATTGATGAAACTTTCCTCAATAAAAAGTATACTAGGGGAACAACAAGAGAAGAGGCTAATCAAGTGTAAGTGCTTGGAATATATATACAACATTTCACTTCGCAAAGGTTTGTGGAAACAATACGCAATAGAAGTGTAACAACAGAAGACAATGGCCAGGTAACAGATCGTATATTAAGGGGATCAACATACATTTATATATTTTCATGTACATATTAAAGATTATTGTTGTTAGCAGAAAAACACAGTCCTCTGATTGGTTGTTTCTTACAGAAAGTTAGCCTTGCATCTCTTTGTGGCTGTTGCTTGAAGTTCAGATCATCTATATGTTGACTGTATCCGCCTGCGCAAAGCCTTTGTTCTCATTTTTCTCACGACCAATATTTGGGACATAGACATTGACGTAAATTGCTGTCTACCAATTTTGGCTAACAGCCAGCTCTCACCATAAAAGTACGTACCGGAGTATTAATTTCAATTATTCAGCGCTTGGTGTACTGTCAGGAACGATCATACTGACTGTCGAATGAAGAGAATATAACCGGTTTTCACCTTTGGGTTTTATTCACTATCGTACCAACCATTCATTTGACTTTGTGGCTCCAAATGAAGGATTTTTTTTGGTAAGGGGGGTGTTGAAGAAAAGAATCAGAAATGTCAATGGGTCACAAGATACCATGACTTATTATAGCCGCAACCATGAATACATGCATCGGGTTTGGTGCAGTTTTTCTGCAGATGAACCATGGAGAAACTCTAAAGACCATTATCCAGTTGTTAATATCATGTTTGCAACGTCTTCAGTACATTTTCTTAACGATTATGTGTCACTTTCTTGCATCTGAATTCTGATTGGTTATTCAAAGTCACTGGGATTTTTGCTATGATAGTTGTATAACATTAAGCACCACCAACTACCAATTGGCGAATGACCTCGAACGCACCAATCACGTGAAGGAGGCATTTTTGTGCATGAAACACATATATTTATGGAAAAAGTGCATAAAACTATGTACAAGTGTTACAGAGGATACCTTTCTCTCACATTTGATAAAAATAGCTCTCAGTTTTAGGTTGGAGTATCAACAGAGTATAACTCCATTGTGGGTAAAATTTATTTTGATTAAGTCTCACGGTGTTATATAGTAATATTTAATGGGCAATAAACTGTGCTTGAAACATCGTCAGTGAGTGTTATTGTATAATATTGTGAGAATTTATCAAAATAGATTTTACCCACAATGGAATTATGCTCTACCACAGTGCACATGTTCTATTCTTTCTTCTATCAACAGAGTAATTTAACCACATTCTATGCATGTAGTTATTTTGGTCTTCTAACCGACAAGTCTAATCTTTCCTAAAACTAGCCCTAACGTGGAAATATGCCTAAACTAACCCTAATCTAACTTGAACTAACTTTAATGTCACCTTTAGTAGGTTAAGCTAACCCTAACTTGTCCTTGGCCTAAACCGTAACTTAATCTTTCCCAAAACCTGCACTGAAACTTCCCAGATATCCCATCTAATAATCTAATACTTCGATGAGCATGTTTAATTGATGATGGCAACATTACTTGCCAAGTTTCACTAACTTGCTCAGTGAGCTTTTCAAGGTCATTAGTGCGGTCGCACTCCGTTGGTAGTTAGTGGTGCTAGAGGAGGTATTTTTTATGGGGTGGGGGAACGGTGGTGTTGTTAGCCTCACACCACCCAACGTTTCTTCTCTTTACCAGTCTTTCTGGAGACTAAGTGAGGTAGTTTACGCGTGCATCGACCGGGAATCGAACCTAGGAGCATGTGTGGCCTGAATCGTGAGTGTCCTACCACACTGAATCAGAATCACTGACGCGCACACTTCATGTTCATATGACACACACATTATTCGGTATTTTAACTTACAAGCTTTTTACAGCTCATAATCTCTACAGTTGTATACTGCATTTTTGTGTTTCTCTGCTTTTCCAGCTATTCTCTCAAGTGAGTCGTTTATTACACTTGAATGCACATATGCTGCATTTGATATCAGATTTCGATGTGATAACTGTAACAGAACGTGAGACCCAACAAGTGGATAGTAACATATCAACATCTCAACAAAATAATGTTCCATCTGATTCAACACAAAAAACAACAACAACAGCAAATGAATCTCAAAAAGACGATAGTGAAAAAGGAAAAAACGCAACTACTGAGGCTACACGCAAAGAGTTAAAGTCGTCTACGCCTCAGGTGAATAAAACGCCTCAACATGTATTATGTGTTCCTGAGATGACGGATAGACGCAGAATAAGAGCACGAATCAATGTAGAGCCGTCTGATGTAACTATTGTCGCGACATCGACGGATGAACAACAACCACGACTGGTTCGAAGTGAACAGCCTACAAATAGTGTTAATTCATCGTCTGCACGGTAATTGTTTCTTTTCTTTTCGTTCTAGCTCAGGACTTTTATGATTAATTGAAATATTTAAACTGTGAATCACTGACCATCAATCATAGTCTGATATATTTTTGGTATTAGATAGTTGGAGGCAATCGGCCACAGGAAGCCTTGGACCTAGGTTTCGTACTAGTTGGCACTCATCAGTCAGCAAGGCGTATCTGCAGTCACCTTCACAGAACTGATGTCCCTCCTGAGATTCTAACCCGCGTCACCTAATGCTATGCTGCAATCAGAGACGTTACCACTGAGCTATTAAGGCTCGCCAACTAGCTTCCCGTGGCCGATTGCCTCCAACCCCGACCGAAATCTGCTACCTTGACATGGTGGTCGGGCTTGAACACCGCAATGACCTAATCAAGCTATACTGGCTGAGACTTATGTCTCTTGAGGTTCTAACATGCCAGGCAGGTTGTTTGGATAGCGGTTAAACAAAAAGCAACTACCCCATCCAATACCATGATTCAAACAAATTCACAAAATTTCATGCCGGATCGGTCGTGGCGCGGATTAACAACGACCGCGCTTCCTGCTGCCGTGTCACAGGGCAGGAGTGATAAGTATGCTACTGAGGCACACCAAACAAAAGAGAACAAACAAAAACAGGCCGCGTGTGACCGGCCTCAGGAAGTTGTCCCCTGGGCTCTGCGGTCACGCAACCAACTTCCACGGTGTGGGCAGCCGGGAAGTAACAAACGCCCTCACAATCCGAAATGCACAATCCGACCACCTAATACCAACAGTTCACAGTGCGCCGTAATGGCGAGACACCTAGCACGGTGGCCACATTGCAAGCTTGACTGATAGAATTCAGTCTGCAAGGAAGATAGGACTAGACATTACACTAGTTACTGACTAGTATGCAATCAAAAATACTCTGATATATCAGCTCAGATTTAAGTGAATCCTGAAATGTTTTGACCAATCTAATGTGTTTTTGCAGTACTTTTAATTAGTCTAAAAATCCCATGTTGATAAGTAATAATACCGGAGATAAAAATTAATGGTTCACTGAGAAGAGTCGCTTCTGTCTTGTGTTTTTGGTCTTGTAGTAAGAAGTGATAGTGAGTAACATTCATTTTCCGTGGAAGCTAATCTTCCAACCTTACTGAAAAGATCAACAGAAGGGATAGGATGGAGGACCCGTGACCCCCCCTGTTTAAAAATTGAATTCTTTGAATCAGTTAGCTCTGTAGCTCAATTTTGTTTGAGTGTACGCATCATCGTCAGTTCACAGCTAGGCTATACTTTGTTGGTTCACATGGATTTGATTTGTTACAGGATTTCATCATGAGCTGACATCGGTTTGACAACCATTCGAAAACCTGGCAATCTTCATTCGTACGCACCCACCGGAGTTCGAACCCTAGGCCTGTTCGCGCAATATCTGGAATCGGCAGAAGTTGGAATTCATGCGTTGATCGTTGGATCGGTACCCAGTGGCTGATTTGTGTACGAGCTCCTTTGGGGCTTGTAACCCTAAGATCCTGGGCTCGAATCCCATTGGGTGAATGCTTACTGTGAAGAGTCTCGGACCGGGACGAAACAACTGCCCAGTACTGCCGGGTTTTCCAATGGCTCTTTGATGGATGTCACCTCATGATGAAATCCTGTGAGCAACCATAGATTTCTTCCAAAAGAAATTCGCAATGTTTGTCGAACGATTATTTAAAAAAAGTTGAGTGACGCGTAAAATCCGAAAACACAGAAATTGTCCCGAATACGGTACCATGTTAAACATAAAATATGCAAGCCTCAATTGTGAGTTTTCTGTGGCAGAATGACGTCAAAATACCACAGTCCATATAAGTCAATAAGTAGAAAAACATCAGAGGTGTGTCAAAGTCGATCCACGTGTCATTGAAACAACGTGCGAAATGCCAGACACAGAAAAAAAAGAGATACGAATAAACAATGTTCAACAGTAACTAGTACATAAATAAAGCATAAGAAATTAATTGCTATACGCCAAATAAAGCATAAATACACTAAGTGAGTCGTGTGCAAGAAGTAGGAAACCTATTCTTACTACTTGCTAATGGTGAGTAGTATAAAGTTTAAGACAAAAGAAAGAGTAGCAAAGGGCAGATGAGCAAAAAAAATTAACAGCTATCTTATCTTGTTTAAAATTTCATATTTTATTGGCTTACTTCACTCACTATGAGATGATTTCGTTCTGTTCATTGTTTCAGTTTTCGAAGTCGATCAGCTTCAAACATACGTCGTTCTAATAATTCACAATCACAAAATGGTAAGTTTGTGAACATGTGGTGTGTATTAGAGATGGTATATTTCATTCTCATCAAAATAATTTCTGATTAAATTGCACAATATGTATATATGTAATTGATTTATGTTGAATAGCTTTCAGTTGGTATAAGTCAAAATTCATGAGAACACTATTCAGGAATATAATTGGTGTATGGTGACTAGCAGTGGAATCCAGGTTGCGCATTTCGTCCTATTTGGGACTCGTCATCTGGATGTACCCGTATTTCTAAGTGAGTGATAATGATCACACCGAGGCCCGAAGCCAGTGCCTATAGTTTCGAATTCCAAAGCGTTATCCGCTAGATCGCTTGAACCACAAGAGTCACTTCTTGCGCAGCGGGTCATATTAATTATTTAATTGAATTCCAGATTTTCCCGTCGATTGATTAAACCGAAGTGCGTGATCTACTAATTTAATGCCCAGACATCATCGAGGAATCTGCACAAGGAGCCAACATATCAACCTAAGACCGAGCACTTCGGTCCAATCAATCGACGGGAAAATCTAAAATTCAATTAAAATTATTTAGAAATATTAAACTGTTTATATTATCAAGTTTTTATACTTTTTTGTTGTATTGGCGACTTATATCACATTCGTATTTTGCCTGCATTCATCTTTCTATAGTTGGTAGATATATATGTATATACATTTCACGTTTCTAGCTACGCAGGATTTCAGTCCTAACTGTTATCCTGCTCAATCTGTTGCCCTTGCTTTGTTCAAGTTTGTGAAAGGAAATAATTTGTATCAAATTGACATAAGTAATTGAATATATGTGCGTCGGTGGCATAGTGGTTAGGACGCTCGCCGACCATACACATGGTCCGGGGTTCGATTCACGGCCAACGCACTCCTTTACATCGCTAAGCCAGGTAAAGAGGAAAGGTTGGGTATGAGGCTAACAACCCCATCCTGTAAAATAAACACTGCTACAGGAACTTCAAGCCACTAGCTTGAAGCCCTATGTTCCACTGAGAAATGTGAAGGAAAAAAATTGAATATCTAGAGAAGATGGAGGTTATGAAGTTGACTAACCAACACGAACAGCAACAACAATCGGGCACCAATCACCCCATCAACAGGAGAGATTTGACAGAAGTTACTTCCTTTGCAACAACAGAAGGCAGGATACGGAAGCCATAGTGTACTTTTCACTAGCCAAACGACTGTTTATATATACCTACAATTTATATTCTTTAAATAATCACTGAGCGTGTGATTTCAGTGTACATCAAACGACAAGAAATAGAATGTACATAGTATTCTGTTGCCAATGCAGTATTGAACTTTGGGAATAACAATCCAACTCTAGCATCAAATTGAATGTTCAAATAGATATATCACGTCCACTTAGTCAGAGATGGCGTAAGTTGGCGTACACCAAACGGGCCTTCTGTATCCGTGCAGAGATTTCGTCCGTGATCATCTCTTTAGGCGGGTGGCTGATGCAATTTCCCAAATAGGTGGTGTCAACACGCTCCACCAACCACTTGTCCAACTAAGAGTCAATGTAGCCCAGTCAGTCCAGTAGCCTCATCATCTTATATTTGACGGCACTAGCGAATCACACGCTAAACATTCAATGATTGCTGCTTCTCAAGGTGTTCAGAAGACTATGCATTTTGTCAGCCACTAATAGTTTCTTGTTCACTACCTTGTGCGTGACTTTGTTAACGTATACTATAGAAATAAAGATATATAGTTATGTAATTACGATAACAGTGATTTATTCAAGCCTTAGACTGCAATACTTTTGTTAGTGCATGCTTTTTTATCATGACTCTGAGTAGTTTCTGTCTGTCTGTCTGTTTTCGACATAGAACTTTGCACAAATGTGCGGAAGTTCAAGTCGCCACATTCCGTGTAGCACGCGAAGCAAGAGAAGAAAGTACAAGAAAAGCATAATAGAAACAGTGAGCAGAGGTGTGAGACAAAGGAGTTATAAAGAAATACGAAACAGTTTCATTGAAGATCATAAGTCACAGGGAGTGGATACATCTGAGCCACTGAGAACGATTTTGAGCCATGTCACCAATTGTTTCCAACCATTCATTGGTTTTTACCGTCCCGAGGATCCCAACCAGGAAGCCAGTATACACCTTCCTACGTGGCTTAGACCAACTGTTGTGGATTTCATTGACTGATGCCAAGTTTTTGTTTGACCGCCGCTAGCTTTTTTCCAGCCTGACCCTATATCCGCTAACATAGCTCGTCGAGGGAGGCGATGACTTGGCATACGTAACACATGTCCTAACCATCTCAGTCGATGTAGCTTTACGACTTCGTCGATTGATTTCCCCTGTTTACCTAGAACTCTACGCCTAACCTCCATGTTGCTCACCTTATTATGCCATTTTACACGGGAAATAGAACGCAGGCACCTATGATCAAAGGCAGCTAGTCTTTTCATGTCTTCCACTCTCAGTGGCCAGGTCTCACAGCTGGCCATAAAGGAGGACGGAGCGGACTGATGAGCAGTACACCCGCCCTTTGGTCGATAGTCGAACATCTCGTCTACGCCAGAGTCGGCGTAAACTAACAAATGCGAAACGAGCCCCTTGTATTCGTGCTGAGATTTCGTCAGAGATCAGCCCGTTGACTCTGGCTGATGGTACTTCCCAAATAAGTGAAGCGGTCAACGTGCTCTACCACTTCACTTCCTATTTTTAAACTAGGCGTCAATGTAGTCCAGTCCTGTAACATCATCTTGCATTTGAGTAGTTTCATCAGCATTTAGACCTTTATAAAAATGAATTATAGAAGTTATAGGCTGTTCACTGTGAATTATCAATTTTTAGGCATATATACTTACCATATATGTGTAGAACTTGGGCACTGTGGTAGTAAGTTATTCCATATTAGTCTGTTTAGTAGGTGTATCACACAATCAGTGGAACAGTATTATTCACTGGATGACATTTCGAACAAAATTTATTATTGTTCATAATCATTTCATCAATTATAATCACACGACTTTTAGACTTGAGTTTTCTTTGTCTTCATCTAGATATCTGGGACAATTGTTGAATCACTCCTATTACATGTATTCTCTCTCAGTTGATTCGATAAACAAAGCCTCAGTCAGTTATCAATCTCTCCCTCCTCCTTTAAAACAAAACAATTTAGTGTACCTAATATGCTGTCTGCATTGATTGTCAGGTCAAATACAAAGGTCAAAGTAGTAGAACAAGGGCAGTCAGACTAGCCAAACATAAAAACGTAGCAATATCTAGATTGGTTGACTCGAATAAGATAAGAAATCTGGAGAATAGTTCAGCCGTAGATAGCACTACATGCAGTTATACACAACCATAGAATAGGATGGATGGGATAAGTTGACAGTTTTTTAAAATCTAATGCAGCAGCAGGGTGGAGGGAGAGATTGATAACTGACTGAGGCTTTGTTTATCGAATCAACTGAGAGAGAAAACGTGTAATAGGAGTATTTCAACATCTATCGCAGATATCTGGAAAATTCTACTACCCCAAAGACGACAAATAGGAGAGAACAAAGAAAACTATACAACTCAAGCTTCAAAGTTGTGTGATTATAATTGATGATATCATTATGAAGAATAAATTTTGTTCGAAACTGCGTCATCCAGTAAATAAAACTGTTTCACTCTTTGATACATCTAATAAACAAACTAATATGGAATATGTACTTACTGTTATTGCATTAAAACCCATAGGTAGTTGTGGCCCCTATTTTTGCACCATAGGCGCTTCATAATCTTTATTCTAGAACTAAAATATATACATGCGTTTTAATTTATATCTCACCGTTGTTTACTATAACTCACACGTGATATTAATAAATTATTTAATCAACTTTTGTCTTTATATTTTCACAGTCCCTCTTGTAACAAGTTCTTCAGGTATAACCGCCAACTCTGGAGTGACGACGACTACACCTCTAGGAAATGGGCGTACTGCTATTATTCATCGATTTGACATTCCAATTATATCAGTGAATACATTCAATCTGCCGACTGCACCATTTTTAGCCTCTCTATCTTCATCAGCAACATCGACACCAGTAACATCTGGTCCAACATCAGTGTCGTCTGCTACTACGACAACGCGTCCACCAGCGCCACCACCAACTGCTACCACCACTACACCTACTCCTATTACTGTTACCACTGATTCCCTACCACCTAGTCATGCGAATGTTACCCTGCTTCCTCGGCCATCAATACCTCCTCCACCTCCGCTCCCACCACTATCGGTAATCAATTCAAGTGACCAGTTTCTGATGTGCAATTCACGTCATTTTTCACATGAAGTTATCCATAGAGTAGGAACATCTCAAGGATTACTTGGACCACCGCCTCTTACACCAATCCCAGATGCTGCTGGTGGTAATGTCAATCGTCAAAATCAGACACAAACAACTACAGCAAATTCTACGACCGGTCGTAGTAATAATACTAGTCATAATCTACCCGGATTTTCTACGCATATTCCATTTTCTTTTGGAGAGTCAATACCACCAGTAAGGCATTTGTTTTTCTCAGAATTGAGTGTTTATTTTCAACATAGTAAAAATGAAAATATTTGCAGTGTGTAATGCAAGCTGGTTTCATTTCGTGGGTTCCGAGTGGAACATAACGACAAAAAACACAATAAATCTCCACTTTGTTCTATTTTCTGCTGTCCTCTTCAACTGTCTAGAGCCACTCGATTGCCTACAATCTCGCATCTCCTCCTCGCCACATGATTTCTTCCGTGTTACCCTCGCACTGACGACCAACTCATCACTTCGCATTGAGAAATTTCATTCGAGCAATGGTCTGTAATGTGAGTGCGACGTCATTCGACGGCTTCCTCAACGTGTGCTCGATCATTCCATCTCCATTTCCACCTACATATTTGTTGAGCAATCGGCTCTCACCTGTTGGTTTGTTCCCACTTAGAGTTTATTGTTACTTAGTCTTTCTGGCTGACCATTTGATCTTCAGTATAAAGCCAGGCAGTGAAGGTGGCAGCCGTTGACAAATGTCTGTAACTTGCTGTTGGAAATGCTTTTCGTGACACGCTGACTAAGTTTCCCACCCGTTTAGAAGAACTGACTGACTTCACATTTGTGTTGAACCGAATCCGAATCCTGTTGTTTATGCTGGCTGGCTGACTGAGTGCAGTGCATAAGATTTCCAAATTGGTTTCAGGTTAACGAAGGCTCATCTTGCCTTGCCTTCCTGATTCTGGCTGGCTGGTTTTGACATTTTCATCTATGCTGTCCGACTGCCTGTGGTTGAAACGATGCTTCCTGGCCAGATAATTGTAGGAAATGACCTCTGTCAAATCCCTCCCGTGGATGGTGATTGGTGCTGGTTGTTGTTGTTGCCGTGGCTGTTGGTTAGTTGTTCATCTTCATCACCTCAGTCTTCCCTATCTTCTCTTGAAGTCCCATCTTTACTGCCAGTTTCTTGCCGATTTGTTGGTTTTCCCCTGTTGTGAGTCTTAAACTCTTACGTCATGGGGCATAAATCATCCACGCGCAAAATCCAGATCTTATAGAATCCTCTTATCGGTGGATCCAGTGTATTCCTGTCTTGTCACTCACTCCCTGTGCACAGTCTGACACACGCATAATCCATTCCACCAGCACAATTAAGAATATCATCGTAGGTGATAATAGACAGGCAGCCAGCCAGCTTGTCTGACTCCTGTATTCGCTTTGAACGCTTCGCTGAGTTTTCCATTGTAGATCATCTGACACATGGCATTGTCATATAACCAGCTGTTGAATGACGTTAATAAAGTCTCGGACACTGCACTCCGTAGTGTTTGAGACATTTTCCCAATTACGTCTTCGTCAACGCTGTCGTTTCTCTTCACCTGCGTACATCCTTAATAAATCTGTTAAATGTTACAGAATTTCTGAATGTACTTTTTACAATGACTTTAAGTTATAGATAGAAAGTTTAAGTAACATAATTTCAAAGATAATGTAAGCAGACAATTATTTAGTGTTCAGAGAGAGTAACTATTTATATGATAATCAGTAATAATTAGGGGTGGAATTCAGATTGTGCTTGGAAACAAGGATAGACTACAGACAGATTATAAGATAGGACAGCATACATATTATGGTATGGTGGAGAGTTCTCTGAGGGTGGGGGTGAATAGTGAAGTAAAATTATAAACTATATAAAATAATTTAATTTAATACATTTGGAACTTTAATAGTGAGTTGTGTACAGTGAGTGAAAATCAAAGTCAAGATTGAGTGGAATGTTTGTAATATAATTTATTTATTTAGGGATGTACACAGTTGAAGAGAGGGAGAGAGAGCGAATCCACAAAATAGAACGATCTGTTCATATTATCCTGCAAATATATTTCTTCTTTCTTTATTAAAAGCCAATACAGGGAACCGGGTGGATGACTGAGTGTTTATTGCTCAAAATTTCTATTATGTTGTGAATGAAAATACCGAAAAATGCCTGTTTCGTTTTCCTCAAAGTAATACTGCCGTAGTATCGTTCATGTATATTAAATGAGACAGACAGTGTTTTTAAATGTAGATAGAAAATACCAACAATTCCACACCCACCCCCTCCCCCCCACACACACAGTTCTTCATTTCCCTTTAGTTGTAATAATTTTCATTTGTTTCATAAAGGGTGGGGGGGCGAGACATATATGAATTGTAATCTTTCGTTTAAAGTGGTTATCGTTGAGGGTCTTGTTATACGGTTTTATGGTTTTATTATGACTAAATTATTCGGACCTTTTGTCCTAGCGCGATGTAGTGTGCCCTTTTGTTATGTGCCCCTTTACCGTTTGCTCTTTTGAATGACAAAAATATGCTTCCAATGCTGATCTCATATCAACAATTTGAAGGTAGATTTTCTGGTTTGATTGTCCAATGATGACTCTTATTAATACTGATTGAAGTCGTCTACGAACCAATCCTCTCCGTATTCTAACCACAAAGCTCTGAATGACACAAAACAATAGTTTGAACTTTATTAGTTTTTTTCCCCACTCGGATTTCGTCCTTATAAGCACTCATCATTATATCTGTCTTGAGCACATACATGTGGTGTCAAAGAAGAATAGGGTACTAAAATTGTTGACCTTACTATTAAGTGATTTGAGTTCTGATTAACTGTTTGCCACACCTATAAAGAGGGGAAGTGCTTCACTTGTAAAGCACATAAGTCTGCGTCCAAGTTTTGTTGTCGGTTGATGTCTAATTTTTATTATTATTATTAGTATTGCTCCCTTGGGTTCCTAGTGGAACATAGGGCTTCAACTGCACGTCTCCATTTTCTTCTGTCTTCTGCTATACTTTTCGCCTGCATCCATGTTAATCCATATTCTTTCAACTCCTCTTCACACGATCTCCTCCATGTCACCCTTGCACTAACGTCCCACACGCCGCTTCCCTTTCGGGTTCCACTCGAGGGCTTGATGCGCGATGTCACCCAGCGGTCTCCTCAGCGAGTGTCCGATCCATCTCCACTTTCTCCTGCATATTTGTTGGGCGATTGGTTCTTGCTTTGTTTGTTCCCATAATTCCTTGTTGGTGATTCTTTCCGGCCATCTGATCTTCAGTATTGAGCGAAGACAGTTGTTAATAAAGGTCTGCAACCTTTTTGAAATATTCTTTGTGACCCGCCAAGTTTCTGGTCCGTATAGAAGAACTGACTGACTTGACGTTTGTATTGAAAATCCGAATTTAGTTGTTGATGGTGAGTGACGAAGATTTCCAGATTGATTTCAGGCTGATGAATGTGTTTCTCGCCTTCCCGATTCTCGATTTGACATCCTCGTCCGCTCCTCCTGTAGTTGAGACAATGCTCCCTAGATAAGTGAATGAAGTAGCCTCTTTCAAATCCCTCCCGTTGATGGTGATTGACGTTGGATGTTGTTGGTTGGTTATTTTCATCACCTCCGTCTTGTCTATGTTTACCTGGAGTCCTGTCTTTGCTGCTTCTTCGACCAGTTTGTCGGTTTTCGCTTGTAAGTCTTCGATTGTGTGTGACATCAAACATAAGTCATCCGCGAAATCCAGGTCTCTTCTAGGTTCTTCACGTCGGTCGGTCCGGGATATCCCTGTCTTCTCGTTTTCCACTCACTGTCTGACGCATAATCCAGTCCACCACAATTAGGAATATCATTGGTGATAGATTAAAAGCACCCTTGTCTGACTCCTGTGTTTACTCCAAACGCCTGGCTGAGTTTTCCGTTGTGGATCACTTGGCAGGTGCCGTTGTCGTACAGCTGTTGAATAAGGTTGATGAATATTTGGGGTACGCCATAGTACTCGAGTAATTTCCAAATTACTTCACGATCGACGCTGTCGAAGGCCTTCTCAAAGTCTATAAAGTTGAGGTAGAGGTTTGATTGCCATTCCATGCTTTGTTCTGTGATGATGATGCGTAGAGTTGCAATTTGGTCAGTACATGATTTGCCTTTCCTGAATCCAGCTTGTTCTGGTCGGAGTTCTGTATCCAGTGCGTCCTTTAATCTCTCCAGGATGATGCGACTCAGGATTTTACTTGGCGTCGATAGGAGCATGATGTCTAATATCCCACAGTAATAATCAAAGAGGCATCGGCAGCTCAGTAGTGAGATACTCGCCCATCAGGCAAATTGTCTAGGGTTCGACCCACTCCTCTCAGTTTAAAGAAGAAATGTCTGGGTGTGTGAGGTTAGCAACCCCACGCCGTCAAAAGAAAGCACCAAAGCATCAAAGCCCAAGCTTGAAGCCCTATGTGTTCTACACAGAATGCGCATGAATGAGTGAAGTAATAATGATAATAATAATACTTACCTTCTTTATTCATCTACTCGCAGGTTCATTAAATTTCTCAAGCCTTCAATACATCAAAAAGTAGAGATTTTGTGTACTAACAAGTGTCCTTGTATTATAGCTATCTTTAAGGTTGTCACAGTGAAAATGCTTCTCCATGTGTTAGTGGTAGCCTAACTCTATGCTCATTTCCTCTAGGAGAGCAGTTGCAAAGTTCTTCTATATCAAACTAGATGTGTAACACTTATTTCTCAGCTGGTAGTATTACGCATCCTAGGTACTTGTTTGTTCCTCTACGAAAGTTGTCGTCATCTGGGTGGGGGGGGTTATAGTTGTTCATCTTAATGTTCGCGCTATGATTTTTTCATCAGTATGAATATAGTCAATAATGTCACAACGTGTTACGTCATGTCAAAAATATCTTTTTTTTGTAATGGAGTAGTGAACATCAAAGTTGAGAAGCAGGAATACTCAATGTCTGATAAATCATATTTGTCAAATCAACTTGATTCACTAGACTTTAGTTAGGTATGTTAAACATGGAAGGTGTCTGTTGTACACGGAGAACTCCTGTCACTACCTACTGAATTCGTATCCTATTGTGACTGTGATGTGTTTAGTCCAGTTTTTTTTGACAGGAAACGTTAGATTTAATTCCAATTCTAGGAAATATATGAGAACCAGGAAGTACTGGACAGCTGCTGTTTCATCCTAGTTGAGGGATCATCGGCACTACGCCCCCACAGTGGGGTTCGAACCCAGGACCTTTCGGTTGTCTGTCTGTCTGTCTGTCTGTTTTCGACGTAGAACTATGCACAAATGTGTGGAAGTTCAAGTCGCCACATTCCGTGTAGCACGCGAAGCAAGAGAAGAAAGTACAAGAAAAGCATAATAGAAACAGCGAGCAGAGGTGTGAGACAAAGGAGTAATAAAGAAAAACAAAACAGTTTCATTGGAGATCATAAGTCACAGGGAGTGGATGCATCTGCGCCACTGAGAACGATTTTGAGCCATGTCACCAATTGTTTCCAACCATTGATTTTTACCGTCCCGAGGACCCCCAGCCTGGAAGTCTACACCGTCCTACGTGGCTTAGACCAACTGTTGTGGATTTCATTGACTGGTGCCATGTTTTTGTTTGACCGCCGCTAGCTTTCTTCCAGTCTGACCCTATATCCACTAAGATTGCTCGTCGAGGGAGGCGATGGCTTGGCATACGTAACACATGTCCTAACCATCTCAGTCTTTGCAGCTTCACGACTTCGTCGATTGATTTCCCCTGTTTACCTAGAACTCTACGCCTAACCTCCATGTTGCTCACCTTATTATGCCACTTTACACGGGAAATAGAACGCAGGCACCTATGATCAAAGACAGCTAGTCTTTTCATGTCTTCCACTCTCAGTGGCCAGGTCTCGCTCACAACCATAAAGGAGGACGGAGCGGACTGATGAGCAGTACACCCGCCCTTTGGTCGATAGTCGAACATCTCGTCTACGCCAGAGTCGGCGTAAACTGGCAAATGCGAAACTAGCCCTCTGTATCCGTGCTGAGATTTCGTCAGAGATCAGCCCGTTGGGGCTGATGGTACTTCCCAAATAAGTGAAGCGGTCAACGTGCTCTACCACTTCACTTCCTATTTTTAAACTAGGCGTCGATGTAGTCCAGTCCTGTAACATGACCTTCTGGTTACAAGGCAAGGTGGCAAGGTATACCATTCAGCCACTGGGACCCGATTCACTGGCCAGTCCATGAATTCTAACTTCTACCAATTCATGATTTAGCGCGACCTCAACCATTGTTATAGATGGGACATTCATCCTGACACATGACATCTGGATGGACCTCACTGGTCACGACTTCTCACTAGAATTCCAGGAAACTCTATTCTGTAGCATGTCACTAGCGAGCATCAGATTAATTTTCTATAGTTTGGTTTGTAAGGATACTCCCGATGATTCCCAAACTAGGATAAAACAGCTGTCCAGTACTCCAGTGCTGGTTTTCAATGGTTCAACTCGTAAAAACAAAAATAACCCTTACAAACCGAACTATAGAAAATATATGAGAGTTAAAATAATTTGGTGAATTTTAACCAACAAGGGAATCCAGAATGCCCATTTCATCGAATTTATGGCTCATCAGTCTGACGTACCTGCATTCATCAGCGAGTGAGTGAGTAATGTTGTTCCCACTGAGACTCGAACCCAGTACCGCCTACCGTTTCAAACACCACGGAGCGATATCCACAAGACCGATTTGGCAGCATGAGAACCATCTCTTGTGCAACCGGTGTCAGTTGTGAATTAATTTTTAATCCAACTTGGATTTTCCCGTTGCTCGATTTGATCGAAATGTTCGGCCTCAGTTGATGCGTCGGCTTCTAGTATATACGCTACAATGATACCTGATGATTAACCCTGAAATAGTTTGTTAAGTGTGACTGGTGGTGAAATACAAGATGCGCATTTCGTCCAATACGGGACTATTCAGCCCCCTCCGTCCCACCTGAACGTGTTTCATACTAATCCTTAAACATCGTTGAGGATGTCCGTGCTAAGAGCCGACATAGCAACTGGTGCTCAATATTTCAGTCCAATCAATCAACAGGAAAATCAAAATTGAATTAAAGAGTAATAAAGAAAAGTTAAAATACAGTAATTATGGTAATTTAAAAAGTGTTTTCGTGTTAATTTCTTCACTATTTAGACAAGTGTTCCAAATAATTCATCTGCAACAACAACCACAAACACCGGCAATACAGAAAGCAGAACACCTGGAGCAACATTCTCTTTCACTTCAGGTTTCAATCTACCACAACAGCTTATATCGCTTGTTACTGCGGCTACAAATGCTGCCGTGTCTGCTGTGAGTAGTGATCAATTCACTACTGGTGGTGGTGGTGGTACTTCACCATTCAGTTTTCTTGTCTCCTCATCACCAATCCAATTCACTGTAAATGCATCACCACAGCCTATAGTGACAACGATATCAACAAGGACAACAACAACCGCCACTGGTGCTGCTACTGCTGGTGCTGTGACGTCGAATAACACTTCTTCAGGTGCTAATCAAGGAGTCGATTCACGCGCTCAAACAACAACTACAACCATGACAACGTCAGCAACACGTACATCTTCAAGTAAGATACTTTTTGTAAATGATCAGTCAGTTTAGAAATTTTAAAAAAAAAGTATTTAGGCAGTTATCAGGGTTTTTTAGACTTAAAAAAGCGTGTCACACAGTGTCATCGTATCCTTTCAACAATTTCTATTTAATCAGTGTGTTACATATTTTTCCCTTTTTGCTGCATGTTATTCGACCACTTCACTCTTTTCATAAGCTATTTTAAAAAAAATAACATGCACTGACTGACTGACCGACTAATTGACTGAGATGGCTTGTTGGAAGTCGCTTTATTTCAAGTTTGACCACGAGGTGGCTTCTGTTGAAGAATCACTGAAAAACTACGGAGTACTGGACAACTGATTCGTCCTAGTTTGTGACTTGTCGTCAGAACGCACCCATCAGGGTTCATATCCAGTAGTTCTTTATCTGATAGTTAGCTCGTGATCAAACTTGAGAATTAATCTGATGCTTTCTAGTGAGTAGTGACTGACTACAGGCCGACGATGTAGTTGTGTGAAGTTCTAGTGAGAAGTCGTAACCAGCGGGGTCCATTAAGTAAGTCAGTTTACCCAGTTAATCACCGATGTCTTTGGCCAGTAGTTGTGCTAAAATCACGAATTGGTAGGATTCATACAGTGACTGAATATTCTAAAAGCTTGATTTGCTGGCGGAAGTTCCTGGGTTTGACCCCGAGTTGGCGAGTGCTCACTGCTGTGGAGAGTTCCAAACTAGAATGAAGCAACTGTTCAGTACTCCCCGGTGGTGGTGGTTTTCTCTGTTTCTCTAATTGATATCAGCGTGTGATCGATTAAGCTTGAAAGAAATCAAACCGCTACAAACCTAACTCTTGAGACTTCAGACAATTTAAACATTCATACAAAAATGCCAAACACACATTTTACACTTGCTTATATCATAAATTTTTGATAGTTCTGTAAACGGATATTCCCGATAAGAGAATACACACATTTGTCTGTTAGGATATGAAGAAGCAGTCGATCTAACTGTTAAAATAGGTAGTTACTATTAGATGTTGTATGCTGTGAGTGTCAAACAAAGGTGTGTTAAGCATTATTTTCCTGCTTCGACATAACTGTCTGTCTGTCTCCGACATAGAACTTTGCACATATGTGCGGCAGTTCAAGTCGCCACACTCCCTCCATGTAGCACACAAAGCAAGAAAAGAAAGTGGAAGAAATGCATAATAGAGACAGTAAACGGAGGTGTCAGACAAAGGAAGGGTAATAACGAAGAACAATACAGTTCTATTGGAAATCATAAATCACAAGGTGTAGATGCATCTGCGCCATTGAGAACGATTTTGTGCCATATCACGAATTGTTTCCAACCACTGGTTTTTACCGTCCTGAGGACCCCAGCCCATCAGGAAGTCTACACCTTCTTATGTGGCTGGCTTAAACTAACTGTTGTGGATTTCGTTGACTGATGAAGCCATGTTATCGATTGACCACCACTGGCTGTTTTCCAGCCTCATCCTATGTCAACTAACATTGCCCGTCGAGGAAGGCGATGACTTCATAACATGAACTGTCAAACTACCTTTGATTGTACGCTTTTGTGTGTTCATTAATACAGTGGTCCTTTAGTCGATATTAGGTAGGTCTGTGTAGGAGATCCTTCAGTTTTGCTTTTTTTTCCTTCACGTTCCCAGTGGAACATAGGGCCTCAAGCTAGTGGCTTGAAGTTTCTGTAGCAGCGTTAATTTTTACAGGATGGGATTGCTAGCCTCATGCCCAAACTTTCCTCTTTACCAGTGTCACTACTGGCTTAGCGACGTAAAGGAGTGCGTCGGCCGGGGATCGAACCCTGGACCATGTGCATGGTCGGTGAGCGTCCTAACCGCCATGCCACCGACGCACAGTTTTGCTATATACACTATTATCAACACAACATCATGGGAGGGTAAAAACTCGAAGGGAAGCACGCTTAAATTGTGGTTGTTATACTTGTAGGACACTATCGTTATCGTAGGATTTTTTTTTACTTTTGAAGTTCTTTATCATCACTATACTATGTAAGCTACATACTCTCCCATCTGTCCACTATATAACGTCATCGGCTTTAGATATTGCTTCTCTCCATTGAAAGTGGAAAACATGAAAAGGCCGGCTAGCTGTCTTTGATCATAGGTGTCTACGTTCTATGTCGTGTTGAATGATATAATAGGATGAGCGATATTGAGGTTAGGTTTCGGTTGAGTGCTATATAAGGAGTGGAAATGATCTGATGAGGTTGTGAAGTTACACAGGTTGATATGGTTAGGATATGTGTTTGGCATACACCGAGCCATCGCCTTCGTCGACAACGGGCAATATTAGCTGACATAGGATGGATCAGGTTGGAAAAGAGCTGGTGGCGGTTGTCAAACCGAAACCAACATGGCTTCATCAGTCAGTGAAAGCAACAACAGTTAGTGTAAGCCAGCCAGGCACTTAGGGATGTGTCAACATCCTGACTGGTTGGGATCCTCGGGATGATAAAAACCAATGAAGGCTACTGATAATTGGTGGGTGATATGGCTCAAAATCGTTATCCTTGCCACAGATGCATCCACTCTTTGTGATTTACAATATCGGATAAAATTCTAGTGTTCTTCCAAATTATTACTCTTTCTGCCTCATATTCTGGTAATTATCTCTCTCCTTTGAATCTGTATTTACTGTGTTCTCTTGCTTTATGTGCTGAATAGAGGGAGATCACCAGTTTAAACTGCTGCACATATGTGCAAAGTTCTACGTTGAAACCAGTCATTCAATCAGTCTCTGCATTCAACGTTAAAAGTATACTGATATACTACACGTCAGATAACAGCTATCCTCCAGAGTAATTGTGGTTATGTCGAGCCTGAAATATTGTAATGACATTTATTTTGAAATGTTTTTTTCTTTCTTTCTTGTCCCCTAAAGGAGTCGTTTCTCGTGTCACACCGTCTTGGGCAACACCTGATGGAGTAGCTGAACAGCAGTTACAACTTGATGGAATATTTCGAATATTCAGTGTAATTATAGACGGTCTTATTCGAACTGTATGGTCAAGAGTTTCTCAGTCTTCTGCATATCCAATTCCTGCCTGTCAATGTAAGTTAGCTGTTGTTGTTTTTTTTTCAAATTTATACTCGAATGTCTATTTTAAAAGACCTACAACAGAACAGACTATTGAATATTATTATTTCCTGTAATTCCTAGGAGAACATAGGGGTTTCAACCGCACGTCTCCATTGAGTTCGGTTCTCTGCTAAATTTATCACCTGGCTCCAAGTGTGCCCACATGCTTTCATCACCTCCTCTAAGTCACCCTCACACTGACGACCAAATCTCCGCTTCCCTTTCGGGTTCCACTCAAGCGATGGCTTGTCTAGTGGTGTCACTTGATAGCTTTTCTCAGAGTATGGCCAGCCAATCCATCTCCATTTCTTCCCGCAGATTTCTTGCACAATCGGTTCCTGGTTGGTTCGCTCACTACCAGAGATCCCTGTCTCTGATCTTTTCTGGCTGGCCATCTGATCATGAGTATTGAACGAAGACAACTGTTGATGAAGGTCTGAAGTTTGTTTGAGATGCTCTTTATGACGCGCAGTGCAAGTCTCTGACCCATATAGTGAGTAGCACTGTCTTCATACTGGAGTTGAAAATCCGGATCTTATTTTTCACGCTGAGGAGTGCTGTTGACCTCCACACAGATTTGACAGCAATGAAAGCCTGTCTTGCTTTTCCGATTCTGCCTTTGATATCCTCATAGTTCCGTCCGCCTGTAGTCGAAAGGATGCTTCCCAGGTAGGTGAAGGAGGTTGTTTCTTTCAGGTTCCTCCCATTTATGTTTATTATCGTCTGTTGTTGTTACTTTTCCTGTTGCTGTTGGTCAAGAATCTTCATCACCTCTGTTTTCTCTATGTTCACCTGAAGTGCTATCTTTGATGCTTCTTCTGCCAGCTTGTTGCTTTTCACTTGAAGATCTTCCAGTTTGTGGGAAATCAGACATATATCATCTGCGAAGTCCAGATCCTCCAAGTCTCTTTTTGTGTGAGTCCACTTTATGCCTGTTTCCTCATTGCCCATCGCTGTCTGTCGCATTATCCAGTCTACTGCAATCAGGAAGGTCATTGGCGATAATAGACAGTCTTGCCTCACTCCTGTCCTCACTTCGAAGGCTTCCGTAAGTTTCCCGTTGTGGATTACTTGTCATGCAGCATTGTCATACAGTTGTTGGATCAGATGTATAATTGTTGATGGGACCCCGTAGTAGCGAAGTAGTTGTCAAATCACCTCTCGATCGACGCTGCATCACCGAAGGCCTTTTCAAAGTCGATGAAGTTGAGTGAGCTGAAGATGTGACTGCCATTCCAAGCTTTGTTCAATATTCATCCGTAGTGTGGCGATTTGATCAATACATGACTTGTTTCTCCTGAATCTAGCCTGTTCCAGTCGAAGTTTTTCATGCATGTCGGCTTGTTTGATTCTCTCCAGGATGATTCGGCTTACTATTTTGCTTGGAATGGACAGTAGGATAATTCCACGCCAGTTCTTGCATTGACTTGAGTCTCCTTCCTTTGGTAGTTTGAATAAGTATCCTTTCTTCCAATCCTCGGGTTCCTTGCCCTCTGTCCACACCTTCTCCAGTAGTGGTGTCATCAAGTCCACTATTGTCTCTGGGTTCAGTTTCAGTGCTTCTGCTGGGATTCCATCTGGTCCTACTGCTTTTATATTTTTATTTATTTATTATATTTTTATTCATATCTTTTGTTCAGGTGTAACAGATCAAAATAGCATCGGTAGCAGTATATCACGTCATCAAAATATATCTGCTGGATTATTAAATGATATTCTTAATGCTGTTCGTGGTGAAGTTCATGCTGCCTCAGATACTACTACTGATGTCTCTGGTCATGTTACTGCAGCTGCATTGGATGGTTTACGTGATCATCTACAACATTTATTGTTGTGTGCTGATTCAGTGACAGGAAGCAATCAATCTGAACTAGTTAATTCACTAGTTAGTACTATTTTTAGAGGTCGACTATCGGATGCTTGTCACAGTGAATATACATTGTGGATAAACAATTTTGATGAAAATTCTTCTCAAAAAATGATTGATGTTACCGCGTCATTTGCTAAGCTATGCAGGGTAAGTTGCTGTTAAACTCATTTCTTCATTCTGTTTGTGTAATTATGTTGTATACTAAGGGATTTGATTGTCTAATTGGTTTAAGCGACTCACGGATTGATTGGTTACCGGGGTGGTGGTATGTGTAGAGATTATAGTCCATCTAGGTGAGGGCTTCTGAACATGCTGAGCAGAAATCTTGATATATTTGGCATGACACTTACCCCCTCCCCCATCTTATCATAAAATGTAGGATGGTGTTTAAATGTAGGCAGTGATGAAATGATTTGGCGTGTTGGGGAGTTTCATTAGCTCTGATGAACTGATTGTTTACGAAATTTGAGCTCGTTTGGCATTTGCTAACTTACGTTAACACAAGGCTGGGTAGACGTAATAACCAGACTATTGATTTTAAAGGACATGTATACCACGCAGCAGTCCGTCTTTATGACTATAGAACATGGCTATTTGAAAGTGGAATATATGAAAATGCTAGTTGTCTTTGATCGTAGGTGTTTGCAATCTATCTACCATGTTAGGTGGGGTATAACAGGGTGAGTATTATTGAGATCAGACGTCGACTGTGAGGTAAGGATTCGCCCCCCGCCCCTTGTCGTGACAACTTATAATACTATACTGTTTATAGCGTCTTCCATATTTATTCTGTGTAGGATGTGTATATTCCACAGTGAACTGCTTATGGCTTTAAACAATTCTGTTGGAGTATATGCTGTTTATCATCAAATATTTTGCAGGAATTTTAGCTTACCAGTTCTGATGCTTGATCACGCATCTTACAAAAGTTTATGGTATTTAATAGCTTCGAATAGTATTCAATTTAGACGTAAGCAACCTCCTGTACCTGCCTGGGAGGCATCGTTTCAACTACAGCCGGAATTGAGGAGGATATCAAAGCGAGGATACGGAAAGCCAAACAAGCTTTCATTACTGTCACCAAGTCTGTGTAAGAGATCATCAGCACTCCTCAGCGTGAAAAATAAGAACCGAATTTTCAACTCCACTGTGAAGTCAGTGCTACTATACAGATCAGAGACTTGGCGCGTCACGTAGGGCGTTTCGAACAAATTACAGACTTTCATCAACAGCTGTCTTCTCTCAAAATGAAAGATATTCAAGTGAAAAGCAACAAGCTGGCAGAAGAAGCATCAAAGATAGCACTTCAGGTGAACATAGAGAAAACAGAGGTGATGAAGATTCTTGACCAACAGCAACAGGAAAAGTAACAACAACAGACGATAATAAACATAAATGGGAGGAACCTGAAAGAAACAACCTCCTTCACCTACCTGGGAAGCATCCTTTCGACTACAGGCGGACGGAACTATGAGGATATCAAAGGCAGAATCGGAAAAGCAAGACAGGCTTTCATTGCTGTCAAATCTGTGTGGAGGTCAACAGCACTCCTCAGCGTGAAAAATAAGATCCGGATTTTCAACTCCAGTATGAAGACAGTGCTACTCACTATATGGGTCAGAGACTTGCACTGCGCGTCATAAAGAGCATCTCAAACAAACTACAGATCTTCATTAACAGTTGTCTTCGTTCAGTACTCAAGATCAGATGGCCAGCCAGAAAAGATCAGAGACAGGGATCTCTGGTAGTGAGCGAACCAACCAGGAACCGATTGTGCAAGAAATCTGCGGGAAGAAATGGAGATGGATTGGCTGGCCATACTCTGAGAAAAGCTATCAAGTGACACCACTAGACAAGCCATCGCTTGAGTGGAACCCGAAAGGGAAGCGGAGATTTGGTCGTCAGTGCAAGGGTGACTTGGAGGGGAGGTCATGTGAGGGGGAGATGAAAGCATGTGGGCAGACTTGGAGTGGAGTGAAAAAGTTGGCAGAAAACAGAAGGCAATGAAGGTGCGCAGCTGAAGCCCTATGTTCTTCTACCAACTAAAGAAAACAATAATAATAATTAGGCGTAGTAATGTGGTGCAGTTGTGGAGGTCCTCATGTTGAAGATGCATTTGGTGACACGACTGTTGCAAAATGACAAATGATCAATTGTGAAATGTAATGTATGATGGGGAATATAGTATCGACCGAGGTGCTTGCTATCGAAAATCGCCATCATCATATTTGCTTATAATTTCTCTTGTTCACTGTGTTTTAATCTATTGAAGTATAACCTCTAATTGTATTATTTTATTTACTCTCACGAATATTTAAAATGTTTACGACATTCTCTGGTTGGCTAGTTTCTGCTGAACTTGAAAAAAAAAGGAAAATTGTGGGTGGGTGAGTGGCTACGGATGCTAAATACATACGAGAAAGATTGTCCCCGATTTTATATCCCATTGAGTCTCCATTGTGTACTCATGAACTTTTTATAATTAGCTATCATGCAAATATCGAAGGAGGGAGGCGGGCATAGAAGAGATATCACATGGGAGATTGGTTTACTCTTCATTCAGGTCAGGCTAACTACACTCTACTGTTAATAAATATGTTATCAGATGAACCTGAACATAAAGAAACTGTCATGCAATAAACTTTGCTGAAAATGGTGTGCTGTGCGAAATAAAGCTAATTATTATCATTATTATTTAACTTGTGGAAATATAACGATTGTAATTTTTTATATTTTATATATATTCATATATTTGAACTCTCCTCCAGTACATTATTTCTTCTCAATTGGATTTATGGAGAGCTAGTCCAACAAATACTGGATTCGGTAGTACTCTGTTAATGACACTGAAAATAGCGTGTACAGATCTACTGTGTTTAGCTGATCTGTTGACAACTCGTCTAGCATCTAATTTAAAAATTGAATTGTCAAAAACATCAAAGTGTTCATCAGGGGAAACTCGAAGTCAAATATTTGGCATTGGAATGGGTTTTGAAACATTGATGGATCATTGTAATTCATTTTTACAAGATATTGAAGGTAGGTGGTGGTGGGTGAATATTTTGAAGCGAACCGGTGTCGTTTTTATTTTTTGTTGTTGTAATAACGTGCGAATTAGTCAAAATGGTAAGAAGTGAGCATCTAACATTGTTCTTTTCTTAGACATCGTGTTCAACAGTGGATGTTTCAGATTAGTATGTCCATTGATATAAGAACAGAACTTGTGTACTGTGGTAGAGTATGATTCCATTGTGGGTAAAATTTATTCTGATGAAGCCTCACAGTAGTATGCAGTAGTATATACTGATGATCACGTTTCGAGCACAATTTATTGCTCCTCATAATCATATCTTAACTCACAGTCATAGCAAGTTACCCTGCAAATTATATTATTTTGTCTGATTGGTTCAACCCGCAGGGTCCTTTAACCTACAGAACTTGTCCTACTTGAGTGAGTTTGTAGGTTTGAATGCCACCCTAATTCCTGGTTTTGCGAGAATCCTACGTAGGGTCTCAGATGCCCCCTCCTTATATAGTATAACTGTAGATGCTTTATATTCTATCTTATTTATGTTATCGCTATTAGTTTCACTATTATTTCTGTTTTGCTTTTGACCTTTTACGATCTTCCTAATGAATTTTATAGGATAGTTATTTGATACCAACGCTTCTTCTCTCTGTTGTATTTCTTCATTTAGGTCTTTTCTTGTGCTACTTAGCGCTACTGCTCGGTATGTTAGACACTTAACTAAGCCAGCCTTTTCAGACAACGGATGAGATGAATTGAAGTCTAAATATCTATATTAGAATCCTAGAATACTACTACTAATCAAATCAAGCGATGAAAAATAATGGAATTATATAAACGAAGTTAGAAAGTTGTGTGATTAGTGTCTTGATATGGTTATGAGCAGCAATAATTTGCGCTCCGGAACGTAGTGATCACTAAATTTTACTGTATAACAGTGTGAGACTTTATCAAAATAAATTCTACATACAATGGAATTACTATATCCACATTTAAAATCCCAGCAGCATTTCGTTGCAACTGACAACTCAATTTTTCTACAAAAATTCCACTACCCCCACGACAGATAAGAGAGAACAAAGAAAACTATAAAACTCAAGTTTCGAAGTCGTATGATTATAATTGATGAAATGATTATGAAGAATAACAGATTGTGTTCGAAACTTTGTCATCCAGTAAATAATACTGTTTCACTGACTGTGTGTGATATATCTAATAAACTAACTAATATGGACTTACATACTACCAGAGTGCCAAAGTTTTCCACATATATTAGTTGCAGAGAAAGTACCCTGAGAACAAGTAGAATACAGTATTTTCCCTTTGTGTCCCAAAAGCCAGGCGTGATTTGATTTGGAATGACTTTTTGTAGCGTTCCCTGCATCTGATTGGATTGGCTCTTGAAGGGCAAGGCTAGCCTGACACGCCCAACCATCCTCCTATACCAGTTTAGCGAGGTTTAGGTGTGTGTCGGCCTGGGATCGACCCTTAGGCCACGTGTGACGTGGTTGGTGAGCATTCTACCGGTGAACACACCAACTCACAACTTTTATCGCACACATATATGTCTGATTCATAAATTTTAAATGTTTTTTTTGCTGTTGTTGTTTGTAGATGATGAATGCTTCGACTTAGGTCATGATTTTGTGACAGGTCTTAACAACTGCATTCAAGCCTATTGTGATATGGATGAGGCTACAATTCGTGCCAAGGTGGCACATCAGATATCTGCGTATATGGAATTCAGAAAACAAGCAAGCCAAACTCCTTCACCTATGCTGGTTGATCCTGTTAGTCCCAAGATTTTGATTGTAATTCTGCTTTTTGAAAGTAGTTTTATTATTTTTTTTAAATAAAAACAAATTCTGTCGATAGCAGTTGTACAAGTTGAAATAAGTTAAGTTGTCCCAGGAAAAATCACTCATTCCTGCCTGATATGGTCGTTTAATCGCTGACCTTAACCAAAGTGTTAAGCTAAGAAACTCTTTTTTTATCAACCTACATTTCTATGATGCTGTCTTGTATACTAATCATCTCGCGCTGCATTTTCTAGTGCGATAATCGAGTATCCTGCCTAAAAGGGTCTAAAAACAGTATCCTGCATATCTGGCAGGAGAAGGTACTAGTGGTTCTGCAGGGAGCGCGATAATCGAGCATCGTGTCAACCGTAGTCACAGCATGTCAAAAAGCACCTCCTCTTCTTTCAGAGTAATCTACAAGGTGAAGGATAATCTGCCAAAGGTAATGGGCTTCTGTCACTTTTGAATTTCTGAACCTTTAGCTATGCGCATACAAAAGGAAATAATTCGATCACTCCTGCAGCCCCCTAGGTAAGAACCTCGTTGATATCTACTGTCTTGATTCCCGTTGGCGACCTGCTTAAAACTTAGGCTACCACAATCCCCCATATATATATATATATATATATATATATATATATATATATATATATATATATATATATATATTCGTCATTCGTTTTGTTTCAGTCGATTCAAATATGACCTACCTGTAATGGTATTATCTACTCGTGTATTTAACACGTTTACAAGCTTCTGTTAAGCAAGTTCCTATTAAACTGAGAAAAAGCCTGACTGTGGGTAGTGACTTGTTCCAACATATAAGAAAACTGTTCTTCAGTTATGTCCTTAGGTCTCAAAATATATATCTGAACATCTTACAGATGGCTTTCAACGAGAGATATCGTGGATTTCTTGAAGGAGAGGAGACAAAGCAGATATATCACAATAAAATGGTTTATGCTTTAGCTCAGAGAACATTGTATCACAGGATATACTGTCAATCAATATTTTACTTGAAGATATAGTTCACAGGGGGAGAAATATCATGCGGTTAACCTCTTTCGAAAATTGTGTACACTTTATAAATACTGCCCAGAATAAAGACGTGATTATTATTAGAACTTCTACATAGTCCCACATTTTCCCTCGTCATCATGTTCATCCTGATTACAATTCATTCGTTAAATTATTCAGTCTATTACATAACTCTAGTTAACGTATTCAACTCCACTTACACACTGATTGACGCCAATATGAACAATCATCACGCTTGTGACAGCTCATCACTTTTGTTATTTATCCTCTTTCTTGAGAAAAATGGTTGTATATAAATGTGATTGTACAGGTGAAGGGAAAAAATTAGTTCTCAAGCATTAGTTTTGTAGGGATTGTGTTAATTTGTTGGAGCTGGCTGGCCTCCAAAGCCTCAGGATGGTCGGGGGTGGGTGCCTTGCGCTGCGGGTTGGCCACCCCTTCGTACACCTCTTGAAATGCTCCCATATGACCGGGCGTCTTACATAGCCTCTCCTGAGGAAGTCCTACTCACTGCCTTCACGTGGCGGAGGTGTTTTTCTTCGAAGTGAGGGGGCAAAAGCGGATGCCCGGCGCTCTTCACCGGGATGACTGTTAATTGGATGACAGTCTAGGGGAGATGGCTAAACCCTGATTCCAAACCTCCCGCGACTGGCGTATGAAGCTCACCGGCAGACGTATGGACAAAGGGCTTGTTGGATGTCTGGCCCCATTCAAAAAGGCGTATGAACCGGACTCCGGTCACCGGCTGTCAATGGGTAGTTGACTCCCTACTCCACTCCTACTGCCTTGTAGGTCACACTTGGTTGTGTAAAGGCTAGAGCTGCACTCTCAAACAAAAGGCCGAGCAATGCTGGGGACATCACTCGTACCTAATTCCCATGAAACTTCATGAACTCTCTACAACATCAACCAAATTCCAGTACTGGTTCAACAACGTCGCCTTTGGTGGTTTGGCCATGTTCTGCGCCGACCAGATCAGTTCTAAATCCCTCACCATTTCCATCTTGGCGATGTCGCAGGGGTGGACAGCTGAAAACATGGCTTTGGACAGTCAAGGCTGATATAGAGTGCCTGGGGCTACAAGCCGTCTACGGACTCCGTCTGTGGAACAAGAATTGGATAACCCTGTCGCAAAACCTTGCATCAGATCGCCGCGCCTGGGCAGCTATGATTCGAGATGTTCATGAAGCCGGCTCATCCTCCCGTAGGAAATAGCTGAAGTAAAGTAAGTAAGCTGGCTGGCATCAGCTAGAGAAACATTGAAAAACCCGCAAGGAGTACTGGACAGCTGTTTTCTTCATCCTAGTTTGAAACTCTTCAGCCAGTACGCACGCACCCTCAGGGTTCTATCCCAGGACCTTATGGTTATAAAGCTACTGCGACCCGATCAAATGGTCCATGAATCCTGACTTCTACCGATTCATGGGCCATTAGATTGGGCCGCAGTGGCTTACTGGGTTACGAGCAGTCCTAAACAAGAACGAAACAGCTGTCCGTCCAATACTCCCAGGTTTTCCAGTGCTTCTCTAGCTGATGATGAAACCCTCCAACCAAAAATGAGCTTTCCCGAAAAGAATCTCTGCGTACTGAATCGCATGTTTTGTTTTCATAAATAAATATAGTCGATTGAAGGTAATGTGAAACTACTAATTGCATTTGGTCTCCCCTATTATGAACTGTACGCTTTTCCTAGATTTGTCAACCACTTATTATTTTGATGATAACAATTATTATAATCTTGCAGTAATGAGAAAATAACTTCACTTTTCTCTGATCGCAGATTTTCTGTTTTACTTCTTTCTTAGTCAAATGGTGAAATTCAACGGAACAACTTCTGTGATGAAGATCTACACGGAGATGATTTACCCTTCTTGGATGCTTATTCTGATCCACCTTCTGATGAAACAAACCACACCCACCCGCCTATTTCACTGCAATTGTCCACTCCTAGCACTACTACTACTGCATCAAAGGAAAACAATAAATTCCCGTCTAGTCAGCTTAAATTACAAGCGAAAATATCCGCTTTACCTGACTGGTCACCCAAACCAGGTGAACTACCGAATTCTAAATTGACTGCTCTTGATCCTAATCCAAATTCCACACTGTCTATGGAGGCTACAGCAAGAGACAGTAATGAAGCAGCAACAGCAGCAGAAGGCTGGCATGCTGTCTTACCTCCTGCATGGATTCATGTTGTTACTGGTGATATGTCCACTATGTCACGCAATCCTCCAGAGTCGGATGATCCTGATCAATTTGGACGGTTCAGTGATGGATATATCGCTGGAATGCCTGCCAAAAGACGAAAGGTATTTATTGTTTGTGTTTGTTCGCCAAGCTAAGCGTAGATAATGCTCGGTGTATTATTTCCACTTGACTTCATAGTTCTGCTGTTTTTTTTCTTCCTACTGTTAATATTTATTTAATTGCTCTACGTTCCGTGTAAAACACAGGGCTTCAATCTTAATTCATACGCACTGTGATCAAGATTTGACCGGATATTTGCAAAATAATTGAGCGCTGAGTGAGAAGTAGACATTTATAAAGTTATATTTGTAAAATCTCAGCGAAATTGAAATGATTAATTCCAACGTTTCCTGAGTTCGACAATCTGGTCCGAACTTCTTCAGGGAAATTAATCGAAATTTACATAACAAAGTTTATATATAAAGGGGCACTTCTTGTTTTTTAAAATTTTGTCCAATCATGAGTCATGCAACAGGTATCAGTATGTATAATAAATAAATAAATAAAAAAAATACATCTCTTATTTTTAAATATGAATCAAGAAACAGCTATCAATAGGTATACTAAACAAAACAAAACTTGTATGATCTATTGAATTGAATTTTTGATTTTCCCGTCGATTGATTGGACCGAAGTGCTCGGTCTCAGGTTGACATGTCGGCTTCTTGTGCAGATGCTTCGACGATGTCTGGGCATTTAGTTAGTATACAATTGGTGGATGGTGGCTAGCAGTGGAATCCAGGATGCGCATTTCGTCCTATTTGGGACTCGTCAGCTGGATGTACCTGCATTTCTCAGTGAGTGATGATGTTCCCTGCTGGGTTCGAGCCTCAGTGGGAACATCATCACTCACTGAGAAATGCAGGTACATCCAGATGACGAGTCCCAATTAGGACGAAATGCGCATCCTGGATTCCACTGCTAGCCACCATCCACCAATTGTATGAACTATGATCAAAAACTTTTTTTCGACCTCAGACTTTCAAAATTTGTCTACTTTTGTTAAAATATATGTGTATATGCAGTATATGCAGGATACAATGGTGTGTGTGTGTGTGTGTGTGTGTGTGTGTGGAACAGTCATAAAACATTTGCTATTCTCATGTGAGCTGTGATCAAGATTTGACCGGATAGTTACAAAATAATTGACATTTTTATAAATATAATTTAATTTTTTTATAAATTTGTTATTCTCTCCATAAGAAGGCGTAGACATTCGGGAATTTGACCAATCTTAATGTTTGTATTTCCACGAGGTAGGGTTGCAACCTTCCCTTCATGATCTCAATTTCCCTCCACTCCATCGGCCTGCCTGGACAATTATTATTATTTCGATAAAGCAATAAGAAGACGTAATTTGTCTGAATCGTGTAATGTATTTGCGCAACACATTTCGAACAATCTGATCACACACGGACTTGTCATAGGAATATATATATATAAAATTAATAAAGAGGTAAGAGGTGAGAAAAATAGACTTAGGTCAAGTTAAAAGGACATATTCAAGGTCAAAAAATAAAAATGAAGACCACTAAACCAAATAGCAGAGGTAATAGTACATCTGCTATGGTATCAAAACAAAATTTACCAAGGAAGGTTTAATGTGATGACAAATTGTTTTTGAACGCATAAAGGTGGCTTGAACTTTCTAATTGCTAGGGCTTCTACAAACTTTAGGATACGCCCCAAACACGTTTTATAGATAGGTTTAAAAGATCTGTTAACATCAATTTTATGACCTGTCTCTATAATATGTTTCGCAATAGAAGAGCTAGGTCTCCTGTTCTCACCGTTAATAGGTTCTGATGATTCCATTTGTTTCTGGAGCCATTTTGGAATATGCTCTGAAGCCCTTACTTGCAGAGATCGATGAGTCCTCCCTATGTATGTGTGTCCACACGTACATTCAAATTGGTAAATACAGTGGGATGTGACGTCATTTTTCGCATGTTCGAAGGGCTTAGATAGATATAATGGCTTTACATTCTCTAATATTATGATATTAGCTGCATAAAAAGTCTTTTTAACAGCAGCGTTCAGCCTTTGTCTAGTTATCAAGCTGCTTTGATGTCCCATATAGGGTAGCTTGATGTACACGTCTTTCTTAGGGGCGAGTTGGAGAGTGGGTCTTGGTGTTCTGACTACTTTATATCTCCTGATGAACTTTTCTGGATAATTGTTATCAACCAGAGTTTGTGTCAATATTCTTTCTTCTTCATCAAGCGTGTCTTCAGTGCATATTCGTCGGATTCTACTGAAGAGGCACCTTACTAAGCCTCTTTTGTACCGAATAGGGCAGAAACTGTGGTAATTAAGATACTGTCCTGTCCAGGTAGGTTTTCTATAAATAGATCTTTTTATTGACCCATCAAGCCGTCGACTAAGCAATATGTCTAGGAAAGATAAACAATTATCTTCCTCTTCTACAGATGTAAGTGATATGCTATTCTGAACTTCATTCATTCGATTTAAAATTGAGGTGGCAGAACAAGGCTTATCACTGATGACTACGATATCATCTACATACCTTCTATAAAGTGGCACATTTTCGATTAAATCTTCCGATAAATTCTCAATGTACGACATATAAATATCTGCTAAAAGGGGCCCTAATTTTAATTTCTAGAGGAATATAGAGCTTCAGCCGCACGTCTCCATCGCGTTCGGTTCTCTGCTAGAGTTTTCACCTGGCTCCAAGTGTGCCCACATGCTTTCATCTCCTCTTCACATGACCATCTGTAAGTCACCCTTCCACTGACGACCAACTCGCCGCTTCCCTTTCGGGTTCCACTCGAGTGATGGCTTGTCTAGTGATGTCACTTGATAGTTTTTCTCAGAGTATGGCCGGCCAATCCATCTCCATTTCTTCCTGCCTATTTGTTGCACAATCGGTTCCTGGTTGGTTCGCTCACTGCCAGAGATCCCTATTTCTGATCTTTTCTGGCTGGCCATCTGATCTTGAGTACTGAACGAAGACAACTGTTAATGAAGGTCTGTAGTTTGTTTGAGATGCTCTTTATGACGCGCCAAGTCTCTGATCCGTATAGCGAGTAGCACTGACTTCACATTGGAGTTGAAAATCCGGCTTTTAGTTTTCACGCTGAGGAGTGCTGTTGACCTCCACACAGACTTGAGAGTAATGAAAGCTTGTCTTGCTTTTCCGATTCTGGCTTTGATATCCTCATAGTTCCGTCCGCCTGTAGTCGAAAGGATGCTTTCCAGGTAGGTGAAGGAGGTTGTTTCTTTCAGGTTCCTCCCATTTATACTGATTTTTTCTGTTGATGATGCCCAGGGATCTTCATCACCACTGTTTTCTCTACGTTCACCTGAAGTCCTATCTTTGATGCCCTGGACAATTAGATATTATTATTATGGATTGTCATATGTATAGTTTTAATCTGGTGTCTTTGGAGGCGTGATTATTTTCAAATTAAAACAATACATTGAAATCCCAGAGTTACATAATTTTTCTCTTCTGCTGGTATTATTAATTATTGATTAATGTTGTGTTATATGATGAGTTTGGTTTGGGTTCTAATTGCGAAGTTTTCATCGTCCCCCATCTAGACAACTCTTTCAGCGCAACCGTTAATATCACAATTCAGTTGTTTGAATTCTTCGTAAATGATATAATTGCCTTTTCTTGACAAACATTGTTGTGATTGGTTGTACACACTGATCATTGGAGAATTCGAATAAATTCATTTTATATTAAAGCTTGCGCTGAAGATGTTGTCTAGAGAAGGCGGGGGACAATGAAAGCTTCGGATTTACATGATCAATTTAGTCAGAGAACACAACCAAATCAAAATTATCCTGAGCTATATAAATCTTATCTATTATTTCAAAAAACCAATTATCTTAATATACATACATCCACCCAAGCAGCTTTGCTGTCGACGTAAAACTGTAATATTTCTGTTCGGCTGGTCTTATATGCTAGATGACTTCTATTGGACTTGTCTATGCAGTGCATAATTGATTGTTGCGATAATTTATCAGAGTAACTACAACTACCGGTGCGAAGTGCGTCGGTGGCAAAGTGGTTAGGACGCTCACCGACCATGCACATGGTCCGAGATTCGATCCCCGACCACCAACGCACTCCTTTACCTCGCTAAGCCAGTAATAAAGCTGGTAAAGAGGAACGGTTGGGCATAAGGCTAGCCAATAGCTTGAAACCCTATGTTCCACTGGGAACGTGAAGAGAAAAAACGGTGCGAATGGTCCACCGAAGTGAAGGTCTCTAGAGTGGTTGCGCCACAGTTGGATGCTGCATTCTGGTCTCTTATCTCAAGAGGCAGTGATGGGTGTGTCCGCTTCTCCTGAAAACCAATATCCAGTTATTGAGTGTACCATTATGTGAATAAACTGGTCGATCCTGCCAATAATCGTAAGCTTGTCTCAGAGACTAAGTCATGCATGTGTAAGTAAACAGCTTAAAACGGTGAACCCGCGAATGTTTGATTAGATCAGCTTTAGTTCCTTAGATCATATATACTACTTGGATAACTGTAGTTATTCTAGATCTAATATATGCAATTTGTCTATTCGGATAAATAGACTATGTGTAACTTCTCATGTGCGTTAACAAATTCGTCTTCAATCGTTCTTGTGAACACTCACGTTTCCTTTATGCCTTTTTTATTGCACTCTCATCACAGGTTATGCAAGATCACTCAGGATCTATATATCAATCACCAGATCAGCTATTCATGGAATGCTTATCGGATGCTGTAGCAGCCAGTGACAATGTTGTTGGTAACAAAGAACAAGCTGTAGAAGAGAAAAATTCACCTGAATTAAGGCGATTACTACCAAGCGCAGACAAAGAATTGATTAACTCTTTTCGAGATATTGTATCTGACCGTTTGACTGTACGTTTAATAAATGATCCTGATTTTGACGCAGTACAATTCCCTACAGCTACTCAAACATTTGTAAGGAAAGATTCGAAGCCTTCATCATAACTTTTGGTCTGGTAGGTGCTTGAATAAAAATACTATTACCGATAATGATAAATATTACGAAACCATTCGTACGATTCTGTTCTTCTTCGACTTCTACTTCTTCGCACACACACACACAGTGTTATGTTGTTCACAAAAAGCCAAGTCTTATGAATCAATAAATGGACGGGCTTTTTAATGTGTTGTATGTTTTTATTACTTTTTAATTTCGTATTATGTGAACTTCTGTTTATCTTTAAAAAAAATTGAATCTATGATGAAGGAGAGAAAAAGTTGTTTTTATATATATATATACACACACACACTTGTCTCCTTATGAATTTACAACTAAATATATAAACATTCTGTCTGTTTTCGACATAGGACTTTGCACCGATGTGTGACAGTTCAAGTCGCCACACTCCATGTAGCACGCAAAACCAGGGAGAAATGCATAATAGAGACAGTAAACAGAGGTGTGAGACAAAGGAATAGTAATAACGAAGAACAACATAGTTTAATTGGAAATCATAAGTCTCAGGGAGTGTATGCATCTGCGCCAGTCATTGAGAAAGATTTTGAGCCATGTCACCAATTGTTTCCAACCATTGGTTTTTACCGTCCCGAGGACCCCAACCAGGAAGCCAGTCTACACCTTCCCACGTGACTGGCTTAGACTAACTGTAATGGATTTCATTGACCACCATGTGCTAGCTCTTTTCCAACCGGATCATATGTCAGCTAACATTGCTCGTCGAGGAGGGCGATAACGGGGCATGCCTACGTAACAACACATGTCTTAATTATCTCAGTCCTTGTATTTTCACAGCCTCGTCGATTGATTTCCCCTCCAACCTACCTAGCACTTGACCGAGGCATAACCTCAATATTGCTCACCTTATTACACCTATCACTTGACATGGGAGGTAGAACGCAGGCACCTATGATCAAAGACAGCTTATCTTTTCATGTCTTACACTGTCAATGGCCATTTCTCACAGCCATAGAGGAGGACCGAGCGGAACTGCTGAGCAGTACACCCGCCCTCTGGTCGATAGCCAGCCGGATATCACGTCTACTAAGCCAGAGACGGCGTAAACTGGCATATACGAAACTAGCCCTCTGTATCCGTGCGCAGATTTCGTCAGAGATCAACCCGTTGACTCTGGCTGATGGTACTTCCCAAATAAGTGAAGCGGTCAATGTGCTCTACCACTTCACTTCCTATTTCTAATCTAGGAGTCGGTGTAGTCCAGTCCTGTAACATCATCTTGCATTTGGTGGGAGCGAATCGTATTCCAAACATTCGTACATCGCAGCTCAAGGTGTTTAGAAGACTGCATTTTTTCAGCGTTCTCGCCTAATCGTCTGCGAGATTAATCCCCGGTTGCAAGTCAATCGCTGATTTTCTGAAGTGAGTTAAGGTTAAGTCCATTAGTACATCTATGATGGAGTTGAATAGAAAAGGGGATAATGGGCATCCTCGACGGACACCAGTTCAGATGACAACTCGCCGTAAGCCCTCACCTGGCTGACTGCATGAGTTCGAGTAGAGTGAGTGGCTTGATCAGTTCAATATATATATATATATATATATATATACATTGGTTATGTTGTGCTGTGCCTGTGTTTAGTGTTGTATGTTTTAAGTGTAATGGAGTTGAGTGCGGAAACCCGTACATAACAACCGCTTCATTGAATATTGAACATCAAAAGAAAGTTTTGGCGCATAATTCAAATTCTTTTTCATCATTTCAGTAAAACAATAATAGTATTAATAATAATAAAATAACGATACATACGTACATACATACATTTGAAGATTCAGAAAAAAGAAGGAGAATATAATCATAGGCGAATAATTATTGTTACTAAATGAGAATATTAATCACTATGAATGATGATGATTTGAGTTTACAGTTGATTTAATACGCCGGCGATAACTAGTAGAATCTTCTTTTTCAACGGAATCTTGTAGCTGATCCTTATCAACATCAGTGGTGGATGGTTTCGTCTTTTTACGCGCTTCAGACTGACGACTAGATCGAAATAGCCAAGGGACAATATAAAAGTGCCAAAATGTCCATAGAATGAGACCGGTTAAAATTAATGACCAAAAAATGCATATATGATGAGGTAGTGGTTTAGTCACAACATCCCAACCGAATTTTAATACAATCAAGAATTCAGTGATAATTATGCTTGCCAGCATCCATGCTTGTCTTCCTAAACGTTTGCATTTTCTGAAACAAAAAACAACAACAAACAAATGGCTAATTAATATAAATATCATTGTAATTATTGTACGATTACATGGTGACTGACTGACTGCTTTCAGCAAAGGAATTTGCACCGATGTGCAGCCGTTCGAGTCGCCACACTTAACTTAGCACACAAAGCAACAGAAAAGAAATGCGAAAATCCCGATCGATAGCGGCTACCTACCTAGTCGTGGTGGTCAGGCTTCCATATCCCAATGACCCAACAAGCTACATTGGCTGGAACCAATGTTTCTGCAGGTCCTACCATGCCAGGAAGGTTGTTAGGATAGCGATTAGACTAAAAGCAGTTACCGGCACAGTGTAAGAATTTTTTTACACTATTCTCGGGGCCTGTAGGCGAAGTCGTACTTATGGGGGACATGGATATAACAGCCGCAGTAAGGCTTTTCCCTTAGATGACCAGTATGCCAACCAGCTATGCTGCCTCTCCACTCTGATGATAGAGGGGGTTAGAAAAGGTCGACCTCAACAATTATACATCCCGACTTACCCTACAGTGTCCCCCGGGCTCTGCCGTCACGCAACAGTAATTCTCTTTCAGGTAACCCAAGAAAAAATGAGCTTCCATGGTGATGTGGGGAGCAGCTGGGAAGTAACAACCACCCACACACTTTCAAAAGCACGCGAAGCCTTACTGAACATCATTCTCTTTACAGTTACACGGTACCTTGAACACATTAAGATAAATATCGATGTCAAACAGTTCCCTCATTGTCAAATTAAGCTCACGTTATATTTAAACAGTATGTCTACTAAAACACGGATTGAAAAGAAACATGACGATTGTCCCACATAACAAATATTTCTACCTACTTGAAGACTTTTTAAAGGAATATTCACAAATTTGTCATTATTGACTCTACACACACTGTAGGTTAAGCGTTACACCTGTGATGTTGTGTACATGTTCAAAAATATTTAGATTAGATCTAAATAAACTTACGGATCATCCAAATATTCAAAATATTCGCGTATTGCTGTAGCTCCCATGAAAATCAGGAAGATTAAACGTCCAAGACACAGAAAATGAGGAGGCGGGACCCAGAGCACATACTTCAAATAGAAAGTATTTAGTTCTGCTGTAAGTATCTACAAAATGGATATAAATTATAGTCATTACATGCATTAGTGTTGTGGAAAATATGGGGGTGATCTTATTGGTAATTTCACAAACAATAATATTCATGAGTTTGAAGTATTGACTGATGCCTACATAGAACTTTCCACAGAATGTTATAAGGCTAAGTTAAACTTTAAGCACCATTAACTACCCATTAACGAATGACCTCGAATGGTCCATTGAGATTCATGTACATGAGTTCCCGGTCGTATTCCGCTTGATTCGTATCAAATACGTGCTCTAACGAAGTTATACTTGCATTTCGATGAGGACAAGGTTTTGCAGTATTGCTTGGATTTTGATTTGGTTAGGAAGGAGAGGATTTGTTCATGTAGTGGTGTCATGAGTTTAAAAAGCTTAAAACAGGTCGATTGATGGATGTATGTCCATCGTTGTGCAATTTGTTTGAGACGAGTTAGTATTACGGAAGGTAAGCTGATGATTTTGTAGGAACATTTTTTGCTAGGTAGCACCTCTCCGTAACCCAGATTTTGTATATTTGTAACTACTGGGTTTTAAAAAAGCCTATGAGAGGTGCAGCTGCTGAAACTGAAAATAGCCTCATGTCAACAGTTCAGTGGTATCAGTAGTGCAGAGACAGAAGATGGAGAGAATTACTTAGTTTTTAGGCGGCGAAGTATCGTCGTATACGTGGACGAAACTATCTTATTGAGGAGAAAATACAACTGTGGTCGTGAGCAAGCCAGCAGTGTTCGGGTGACCGGTTTATACGACATCTCCCTGCAGAAAGGATTCATGGAGCGAATACCAGACAGAAAATCTACAACCTTAGTACCTATTGTCACTTGACTGGTGAAACAGGGATCTATAGTAAATACTGATGAATGGAAAGGTTCTAACTCGTTGTCATCCTTTGGATATATATTCAGCACAGAGTGAACCATTCTAGTGATTTTGTCGATCCTATTAAGAGGACACGAATTCTATAGAAGGATTTTGGGGAAGATTAAAAATAGGATTAGGGCTATAAATGGATCTCATTTATAGTCATTTGGATGAATATATGTACAGAAAGTGGTATAAATTTTCTATTGACACTCCTGTGCTAAACTGGGAGATGTTTCTACTACAGTTGAGAGAAAGACACCCTATGTAACAGTTTTATGCAGTTTTTATGCTTTTTTTCAAAAACATGGGTTTTCCTTAATCGAAAATCCCTCTTTCATGTGATTGGCTAGTTGAAGGTCGTCCGCTGATATGTTGTTAGTGATCCTTAAAGTTTAACTTTGCCGGATATCAGTTACATGTGGTAGACTTTGAAGACGAGCACTCATCTGTTTGACTGATATCCCCCCCCCCGCTAAATCTAGTGGCTAATATTCGACTTTTTTTAATTAGTTATCGTTAAAACTAGAAGTTGACGTGGTTCCTGTCCTGTAGTATCATTCGTCAGAAGCGTCCTGCACCATGACTTTTACATGAGGTGTTCAGATGACTGCATTTTGCCACCTACAAAGACATCATCGCTGCGTCCTTTAAATCAATGAGACTAACCCCTAGTTAAAAGTCACTCCTTGAGAAACGATTGGTTATTGTCATATCGTATATAAACTGCCCATATGCTTTTTACACTTTTGCATGAGTTTGAGTAGAGTGCTGAAAAGTCCAAGTTTTTACATTCCCCGACTCACAGGACTCTTTAGTCTTCATTTAACGAATATTTTCGTCTGTTTTTAAGACTTAATCTATTTTTTCCAGCTCGGTAGATGTTCGAAAGTTTGGCGCTCCTAGTCGTATTCAATTACGTCTATCAAAAACTGAACTGAGACTCACCGAATCTTAGCCGGATTTTATCCGATGTCTATCTCTACAGTATTTCAGTAGCATAGTGAATGTAGTCTGTAACTTTTTTCACCATGAGTACTGTTTCCGTGTTTTGACTTACTCTCAAATAATATTCTCGTAATTGCAATCACAGAGAGGATTGTATGAAGTAATAGGTTGTCAGACAGCAAAAAAAAGCGTGTAGAAGAAGTACCTTCATTCTACTGTGAGAGGTTTATTATAAGTCGATTATGATAAAGAGTTTTTAAAAATAATATACTCACCACAATTGCCAGGAACAAAGTTCCCAACCATCGTTTTAAGCTTCCAGTTGGTCGCCAATCAAAATCAGTCCATCTGTGTGGTGTGAACTGTAGCATAGCTCGTCGAAGTTTCCCCCTATTATTAAAATGATAAAAACGGGAATAAGTTCCTGTTAAACTGAGTGTCTTGTTTTTGGGATCAATAAATCAATATTTTGAACAGTCTTTAAGAATATTATTAACTCTAACTTGGGTGTTATTCAGTGGTTGGAGGCAATCGACCAGACGAAGCCTTGAACTCATGCTTGTTAGGATTCATCAGTCAGTAAGGCGTATCTGAAACCTTTCTGACATTCGAACCTTTGTCACTCAGTGGTGCAGTCAGAAAGGTTACACCACTGAGCTATTCGGGATCGCGATTAACCTGCTGTAGGACTGTATTAGTATCAAGTGTCTAGCCCTGTGTTTACTGTCTAGACACATGACACTAGTTAGTATCGAATCAAATTAATTGAGGTGTCAAGCATGACCTTTTTAAAGGAAGTTCTGTAGCCTTGATTGCAAGAACAAACCGTTTCTTGACTGAAATCCACATGTATGTAGTGCAGAGCACAGATAGTAGCATGTAGATTATCGCTAAGCTTCCTGAAAGTTTCCATTTTGAATGGAGTGAGGACAGAAGTGAGGCAAGGCTGCCAACTTTCGTCAATGATTTTCCTGATTGGAGTAGATAGCATAGTGCGACAAACAGCGAGCAGCGAGTCCTAAAATGGACCCACACAAAAGAATAACTTGGAGGATCTGGACATCGCCAACGATATATGTCTGATATCCCACAAACTGAAATATATTCGTGAAAAGCAACAAGCTGGCAGAAGAAGCATCAAAGGTAGGACTTCAAGTGAACATAGAGGAAACAGAGGTGATGAAGATTCCTAGCCAACATCGACAGCAACAACAACAACAGACAACAATCAGCATAAATGGGAGGAACCTGAAAGAAACAGCCTCCTTCACCTACCTGGGAAGCATCGTCTCAACTACAGGCGGAACTGACGAGGATATCAAAGCCAGAATCGGAAAAGCAAGACAAGCTATCATTACTCTCAAGTCTGTGTGGAGGTCAACAGCACTCAGCGTGAAAAATAAGATCCGGATCTTCAACTCCAATGTGAAGTCAGTGCTACCTACCATATGGATCAGAGACTTGGTGCGTCATAAAGAGCATCTCAAACAAATTTCAAACCTTCATTAACAGTTGTCTTCGTTCAATACTCAAGATCAGATGGCCAGCCAGAAAAGATCAGAAATAGGGATCTCTGGTAGTGAGCGAACCAACCAGGAACAGATTGTGAAACAAATATGCAGGAAGAAATGGAGATGGATTGGCCATACTCTGAGAAAAACTATCAAGTGACATCACTAGACAAGCCATCACTCGAGTGGAACCCGAAAGGGAAGCGGCGAGTTGGTCGTCAGTGTGAAGGTGACTTAGAGATGGTCATGTGAAGAGGAGATGAAAGCATGTGGGCACACTTGAAGCCAGGTGAAAACTCTAGCAGAGAACCGAACGCAATGAAGACATGTGGCTGAAACCCTATGTTCCTCTAGGAATTAAAGGAAATAATAATATAAATTGCTAAGTTTTCAGGAAGAAATAAATGTTGTATATATGCAGCGACATGATGGGAATGGATGTCGTGTCTTTTAATAGCTAGTTTATGTTCATGGATGTTAAGACAAATAGGCCGACCACTCCGTCCAATATAATTTTCTTTTCAAAGTCGTTGCAATTTATCTTGTAAATGATGTTGGCTTCGTTTTCTTTCGCTATTCAATCGTTCAGTTGACATACAGCTGGCTGAGTGAAGCGATTTTTTTTTTTTGGTTTTTTGGTAACGTCAATTTTATAAGGTTTGATGAATAGTCTTGCAGTGATTTTCGCTTTCATTGCGGACTTTTGATTTTAGTTGGTTAGAAACACTGAAATCTTTGGTATTCAAGTGGATCGTCAAATCGACAGACACATTGACATAGACAAGATTCACGAAACCATAAGAAGGTAATTACATGAACAAAAGGAGTCAACTTCTGAGGCAAGGAAACAATCAATAACAATACAGGTGGACTAGAAGGTAAGAAAATACACAAAAAAAAACAACCAATCACCTCCAATGTTACCACCACCACCATCACCAGGAGAAGTGACTAATAAACTCGTGCAGGAGTTGTTTTTTTTTTATGCGCTGAAGATGTTTCCTAGTAAGACGATGAAAGCTTTGCAACTATTAAACCATCTAGAATCAAAGAACACAACTACAACAAAATCATCCACCTGAGCTACAAAGCTTTGTCCATTGACCTAATTGATGATTAATTAAAAGTAGTGCTATGCTTTTTCCAATCGAATAGAGGAAGAAATTTTCTCAAATTTATTACTAACTCGAACTTGTATCCAGGGTCGAACAACCAGTCAGTCAGTTCAACAACAAGCGTATTTATATAAGCATAGCGAACACACAATAATACTTAGTTTTTATAATCCTCAAACTGAGATATCAATCCGTGGGGTCTGACCTAAAATAAATAAAATCCCTAACAAAACTATTTCTTCAAAAAACTAATCTGATGGTCACTAGTGACTGGCTAGCTACAGGCGAAGATGCTTGGAGTTCTAGTGAGACGTCCATTGACCAGTGGGGTTCATCCAGACAGGAGTGGGGATGGAGTTGCTGATCACGCTAAAAAAATCACGAATTCGTAAAGTTAGAATTCATGGGCTGGCCAGTGAATCGGGTCGGGTTCCAGTGGCTGAATGGTATACGAGATGGCCTTGTGACTGGAAGCTTCTCGGTTCAAAACTCAGTGGGTGCGTACTGCCAATGATTCGCAAACTAGGAAAAAAAACAGCTGTCCAGTACTCCAGTGCTGGTTTTCAGTGGTTCGTCAAACTTGAATTGATAAATACAATGAGAGGTGGTTAGCCTAGGGTATTGTATCTCTCAGTTTCAGAGGCACAACACGATCGTGTCGTTGTAGGTGAGCTGCAGCTCCCCTACTATCCACAAATCCTATAGTAAACACTTTAATTATTTTTTAAAAATTCCTTTACTTTCCCACTGGAACACAGGGCTTAAAACTAGAGGCTTGAAGTTTCTGTAGCAGTAGTGTTTATTTTTGGGTTACTAGCCTTATGCTTAATCTCCTCTTTCTGCCAGTCTTATTACTGATTTAGCGAGGTAAAGGAGTGTGTCGGCCGGAGATCGAACCCCGGACCACATGAGGCGTGGTCGGCGAGCATTTTACCGCTGTGCCGCACAGAGTAAACATAGCATAAGCTATATAGACGATACGAGCATGAGTTATAGAATTCTCTTAGCTCACTTATATGATTGTGGATGATTTTCTTGGTATAGTCTTCGTAGACGTATACAAGCTATTTGCATGCTAAATTGATTGGCACGGATAACGATTTCATTGAATTTGGTGGCTGCTTTCTTCGTTTGTATGCGGCCTATGGTCGCTATAGCGTCTCAATGCGTGCTACTCTCACCTATAATAAAGCATTTGCCTGGTCTTGTATGGGAGATGACTTCCATTACGCCTGGCTACGTAGTTCATAATTGATTGATGCAATCATTGATTGGAGTAACTACACTTACCTATGCATTATTGTGTATACTAACGGTGCGAATGGTCCACCAAAGGAGAGGCCTCTCCAGCTGTTGCTCCACAGGATGATACGGTATGACGGTCTCGTCTAGCATGAGGCAAGAAAAGCTGTGTTCGATTCTCCTGGAAAAACCAATATCCAGCCAATGCTTGTGTCAGAGATTAAGTCGTGCATGTCTAAGTACATACCTTAAAACGGTGAAACAGCAAATCGCTGATTAAATCAGCTATGGTTGCTTAGACCACATATGCACTACATGGATAACTGTAGTAATTCTAGAGCTAATAAATGAAGTTATGCCCTGACCCGCAAATCAACAGAAAATTTATTAATACAGAACCAACCGCGGGTGGGGGGGTAGTTTCGCCTGGATAGCTTTAATGTGATCGCGATCGGCCTTCCATTGGCGATGGATCTTATCGTAGAAGGAAACAACACAGAGATTCTGTTTCACCGATCAATTTAGAAGGTTAAACAACATTGGAATAAACACAGGAGTCAGACAATGGTGCTTATTATCACCAATTATACTTCATTCACTTACTTATCTAGGGAGCATTGTCTCAACTACAGGAAGTCGGAGAGGACGAGGATGTCAAATCGAGCTAGAATCGGGAAGGCAGGCGAGAAACATATTCATCAACCTGAAACAACCAATCTGGAAATATTCGTCACTCAGCCAGAATCAACAACAAAATTCGGATTTTCAATACAAACAACGTCAAGTCAGTTCTTCTATACGGATCAGAAACTTGGAGGGTCACAAAGAATATTTCCAACAGGCTATTGCAGACCTTTATCAACAACTAACTGTCATCGCTCTATACTGAAGACCAGATGGCCGGGCCGGAAAGAATCACCAATCAACAAATATGCAGGAGAAAGTGGAGATGGATGGATTGGACACTCACTCGCTGAGGAGGGAGGCCGCTGGGTGACATCACGCACGCATCAGACCATTCCTCGAGTTGAACCAGGCTGAAAGGGAAGCGGCTATTGGGACGTCAGTGCAAGAGTGACATGGAGGAGGTCGTGTGAAGAGAGAGGAGTTGAAAGAGTATGGACAAACATGGATGCGGGTGAAAAGTACAGCACAACGAAGACAGAAGTGGCAAGTGGAGACGTGCATTCGAAGACCTATGTTCCACTAGGAACCCAAGGGAAGAATACTAGTAATTGTTACGAAGGTGATTGAGTCTTAGAACGATGAGTGATGCTTGAATCTTGAAAAGACGAATGAACCAAGAATTTAGGCTTTATTCATTTTACAATGAAGCCGGAATGGCTTAAACATATAAAGGAAAAAAAGAGTGTTAATAGCGGTAGAGATATGAATATGACTAGATACGTATTATAAGAAAAGTTCACAACATTCACTGCGGCTTGAAAAGGAATGAGCCATTATGTCACGCTTCTCTGGTACGCAAATTGTAAGGCCGTACACGTTGTTGTTTTTCCAAAAGAATACGCCCGTTGTTCGTTTCAGTTGTATTTTCTTCACGAAGAATATTAGGATCAGTGGTCGCATCCCCATTTACTTGTTGCTCAGGAATTGCGTCGCCCTCCGGTATTGAATTTTCAACTTGATCTATATCTTCGCCTTTGGGTGCCAGATGATGAAGAGCAACTGTATCTTCACGTCCATTACCGAAGCGAACGTGAGCGAATTGCGGGTTACAATTCAATAGCTCCACCTCTTCAACCAGGGGATCGAATTTGGACTGACGAACACTCCGCCGGAGAAGTACTGGTCCTGGCACAGTGAGCCAAGTAGGAAGAGTTGTCCCAGATGTCGATCTTCGGTTATAGGTAAACAGTCGTTCGTGTGGCGTGGCGTTCGTTGCAGTACAGAGCAAAGATCTGATGGAATGCAAGGCGTCGAGTAGAACAGACTCCCATTGTGCCGTTGGTAGGCCCCGTGATCTTAATGCTAGAGTGATGGCACGCCAAAGTGTTCCATTGAGGCGCTCGACCTGCCCATTGGCTTGAGGATTGTATGAGGTAGTACGACTGGTTGCTACGCCTTTCTCCAGAAGAAATGCCCGTAATTCGGTAGACATGAAAGCAGCGCCTCTGTCGGTATGTATGTAAGAAGGCATACCGAAAATCGAAAACAGTTGGCAAAGGCAATTCATTACCGTTTGAGACGACATGTCGGGGCAGGCGAATGCAAAGGGGAATCGAGAATATTCATCGATCAGCGTGAGCAGATAGTGATTGCGGCTAGCTGACGGTAGAGGTCCTTTAAAGTCGATGCTTAACCTTTCAAAAGGTTGGGTTGCTTTTATGAGTTTGAAATTAGAGGGATTGTAAAATTGAGGCTTTAACTCACAGCATGTCACGCATTTACTGGTTACATTGCGCACCTCGTCAAGGGAGAATGGAAGGTTTCTCGAGCGTACAAAATGCATCATTCGGACAACTCCAGGATGGCACATAGAGTCATGGAGAAATTTCAAGTCGCACACTGACTGCAAGGAACCGCAGAAACTACGGGAAAATGTATCAGCAGCTTGATTATCCCTTCCAGGACGATAAATGATGTCATATTGATAAGGGGATAGCTCAATTCTCCAACGCATTATTTTATCGTTCTTGATTTTGCCTTTATGAATCTTGTCAAACATGAATGCTACTGAACGTTGATCAGTGACAAGTTTGAAGTGATTTCCGAGAAGGTAATGCTTCCACTTACGAATTGCTTCAACCACGGCATAGGCTTCTTTCTCAACCGATGAATGATGTTTCTCACTTCGAGAGAGGCTTCGAGAAAAGAAGGCGACAGGTTTACCATTCTGGTTTAATGTAGCTGCAATTGAGACATCTGAAGCATCTGTTTCAACAACAAGGGGTGCTTTCGGATCAACTACCACAACGACTGCACGTTCTAAGTCGTCTTTCAGTTTGTCAAAAGCATTTCGAGTTTCGATATCAAGAGGGAAAATCCGATTATTTACCAATGGGTGGATTTTATCTGAGAAGCGAGGGATCCACTGTGAATAATAAGCAAATAATCCAACGGCCCGTTGTTGAGATTTGATATCTGTGGGTGGTTCTAGATCACGAAGAGGTTTTAGCCGATCGGGATCTGGTTTAATAACCCCCTTTGAAACTTCATAACCGAGTAATTGTATGCTTCTGCTTGAGATCACACTTTTGGAATCATTAAGGGTTATTCCATAATTGCGTGCTGCTACCATAAACTTGTTTAGATTTTTGTCGTGTTCCTCCTGAGTTTTGCCGCAGATAGTGACATTGTCAATGTAGGCAAACGTGCTTGTGAGTTGTTCTTTACTGATCAATTCATCGATAATGCGTTGAAAACAAGCTACGCCATTGGTAACACCAAAAGGAATTCGGCAAAATTGGTAAAGTTTCCCACAAGCCTCGAAAGCAGTATATGGTTTATCTTCGTTCCTTAGGGCAATTTGATGATAAGCATTCTTCAGATCAAGAGTGCTGAATATGTCATATTGTGCGATTTTTTCTATCATTTCGTCAATCCTAGGTAATGGGTAAGCATCCAGAAAAGTGAATCGATTGATTGTCTGACTATAATCAACTACCATCCTCTTTTTATGGCGTTCGTTTGACGTAACAAGAACTTGAGCTCGCCAAGGAGAATTAGAAGGTTCAATAACACCTTCTTGCAGTAACCGGTTGACTTCGGTGGAAATAAAACTTTCATCTTCACGAGAATAACGCCGGGATTTTATCGCGATCGGTTTACAGTCTTTTGAAAGATTTTCAAACAGGGTAGGCAGGTCGACGCGAACACAAGGTAGACCACAGAGAGAAAAAGGCGGCTTTGATCCCCCAAAAGGAATCTCAATGTGTTTGTGAAGTTTTAAAAAATCATGTCCAAGAAGGACGTCTGCACATAAATTATGAAGAATGGAAAATTTGAATAGATCATAAGTGTGGTTTTTATAGCAGATGGATAGAAAACAATGTCCTTCAGTATGACTAGTAAGATTCGTACTCGCCATTGTGATTCTGTTTCGAGACTTATGGACTTTCCAGTTATACTTACGAACAACTGAGGAAGAGATGTAGCTCTCACTGCTTCCGGTATCCACTAGAGCTTGCATTGATTTCCCATTGACAGTAAGCTGCGTAACAGCATCAGTGAGACTTTGAGGTGCTGAAGCCACAACGAGAGATGAAATTATAGAGTTAACTGAAGATGGACCTTTTTTCGTAGATGGCGCAGACCTGCAAACCTTCTGAAAATGTCCTTGCTTGCCACAAGCTTTGCAAACTGCATCACGGGCGGGGCATTTGGAACGAGGATGTCTACGATTACCACAGAAAAAGCATTTGGATTCAACGGCAGCAATGGTTGTTTCATTGACGGAGGGTGTGGAATCTGATGAATGAGGTACATCATGTAAAGAAATGGACGCGCAAGGTGTAACAGGATTGTTGTATGACTGCGATTGTTGATGTGCCATCTCTAGAGCTCGTGCTTGATCGTATGCCGCTTGAAAAGTTAAAGTACGCTGTTCTAATAGCCTCTGGCGTATCATCGAAGACTGTATACCTGAGATGAATGAATCACGTAGAGATTCGTTACGATGTTCTTCGGCTGTAACTGCCCTGAATGAACAATCTGTAGTCAGCGACTTGAGTCGACGAACAAACTGATCCAGATTTTCGCCAGATTCTTGTTTACACGTTGCTAACAAGTGTCGAGCAAACACTTCGTTGCAAGGCTGCATGTAGAGACTCTTGAGAGTGTCGATAGCTTCTTCGTATGTTTTGCATTCAGAAATGCATTCGTATACAGAAGTAGAAATATGATTGAAGAGAATATGTAGTTTCGAAGGATTTTCGGATCCCATTGATTCAATGAAGTAGGAGAAAGTCGCAAACCAGTGATCCCACTTCTTGGCAGCTCCAACTGCGTTAGGTTCTACGTCGAACCGATCAGGTCGGAAAAATCGTTCCATGAATATTGTAAAATGAATAAATTGTTACGAAGGTGATTGAGTCTTAGAACGATGAGTGATGCTTGAATCTTGAAAAGACGAATGAACCAAGAATTTAGGCTTTATTCATTTTACAATGAAGCCGGAATGGCTTAAACATATAAAGGAAAAAAAGAGTGTTAATAGCGGTAGAGATATGAATATGACTAGATACGTATTATAAGAAGAGTTCACAACAGTAATAAGTGACTTAAAGTTTTTTGTAAAATATACAAACAAATTACCTGTAACTGGGTATATTCCACATCCCTCGCCAGTAATAATGTTTCATACTCAGATAGTTCATTGTTTTCATTCCTAACCAAATTCCAAGCAGGTTACAGCCTAAAAAATCCATTATCCACTATAAAGAAAGAAGAAGAAGAAGAGAGAATAAAGTGAATACATTATGTGAGATAGAATTCAGAGAATTCTCATTGTTCCTCTCTTTTGTTTTCTTTTAATGCATCAATCATCAAATGAACGATGGGTGTGAAAACATTTTTTTAAGCATTAAATGACCCTGATTAAGAAGAAGAAGAGGAAAAAAGAGGAATAGAGATCAAAGACATTTGCTATGCATTCTCGCGCATACACCTAATACTTGTTTCAATCAATAAAATAAAAGTTATACAACATTCTAGACGCTGATCTCCATTTTTTGGACTGTGATACAACACAACAACAAAAACAATCCTTAAAAGCTGTAAATACTTCACACGACACTTTTGTAGCGTGTGATGAAGGTTGTATATGGTGGTAATATAGACATGGTGATATAGATAGATTTTTCGAACACATTAACTCAATATTATTATTATATTATTGTTCCCTTGGGTTCCTAGTGGAACATAGGGCTTCAACTGCACGTCTCCACTTGCCACTTCTGTCTTCCTTCTGCTGTACTTCTCACCTGCATCCATGTTAGTCCATACTCTTTCAACTCCTCTCTCTTCACACGACCTCCTCCATGTCACTCTTGCACTGACGTCCCAATAGCCGCTTCCCTTTCAGCCTGGTTCAACTCGAGGAATGGTCTGATGCGTGCGTGATGTCACCCAGCGGCCTCCCTCCTCAGCGAGTGAGTGTCCAATCCATCCATCTCCACTTTCTCCTGAATATTTGTTGATTGGTGAATCTTTCCGGCCCGGCCATCTGGTCTTCAGTATAGAGCGATGACAGTTAGTTGTTGATAAAGGTCTGCAATAGCCTGTTGGAAATATTCTTTGTGACCCTCCAAGTTTCTGATCCGTATAGAAGAACTGACTTGACGTTGTTTGTATTGAAAATCCGAATTTTGTTGTTGATTCTGGCTGAGTGACGAAGATTCCCAGATTGGTTGTTTCAGGTTGATGAATGTGTTTCTCGCTCGATTTGACATCCTCGTCCGTTCCGACTTCCTGTAGTTGAGATAATGCCCAATGCTAGATAAGTGAATGAAGTAACCTCTTTCAAATCCCTCCCGTTGATGGTGATTGACGCTGGATGTTGCTGCTGCTGTTGTTGTTAGGTGGTTATTTTCATAACCTCCGTCTTGTCTATGTTCACTTGGAGTCCTGTCTTCGCCGGATGCTTCTTCGACCAGTTTGTCGGCTTTCGCTTGTAAGTCTTCGATTTTGTGTGACATCAAACATAGATCATCCACGCGCGAAATCAAGGTCTTCTAGGTTCTTCGCGTCGGTCCAGGATATCCCTGTCCCGTTTCTCGTTTCCCACTGTCTGACGCATAATCCAACCAGTCCACCACAATTAGGAATACCATTGGTGATAATAAGCACCCTTGTCTGACACCTGTGTTTACTCCAAACACCTGGCTGAGTTTTCCGTTGTGGATCACTTGACATGTGCCGCCGTTGTCGTATAGCTGTTGAATAAGGTTGATGGATATTTGGGGTACGCCGTAGTACTCGAGTAATTTCCAAACTACTTCACCATCAACGCGTCGACACCAGCATGATTCCTCTCCAGTTCTTGCAGAGCCCTAAGTCGCCCTTCTTTGGTAGTTTCACGAGATAACCTTTCCTCCAGTCAGTAGGCACCTTTCCCTCCTTCCAGACCTTTTGCAATAATGGAGTCAGCATGTCTGCTGTAGTCTCTGTGTCCGCTTTCAGTGCTTCAGCGGGTATTCCGTCTGGTCCAGCTTTCAGAAGCTTGATTGCATTCAAGACTTCAGCTCTCGTTGGAGGATTGGTGTCAACTTGCAGTTGTGTGCGCGCTGTTGTTGGTATTTCTGGACGGGTTGCAGGTGATGGTCGTTTCAAGAGTCCTTTGAAGTGGTCCGCCCATTGTTTAATCTGTTTTTCTTCCTTGGTAATGGGTTTCCCTTGGCTGTCTTTTATAGGTTTCGCTTGTGTTGATCTCTTCCCGGATAGAGATTTGGTTATCTGATATAGTGTCCTCAGGTCCATTTCGCCTGCTGCCTTCTCAGCTTCAGTGGCCAGGTTGTCGTAGAATCGTCTTTTGTCCTTCTCAGCACTCTTCTTCACTTCTTTGTCCAGTGCTGCCTGTGTAAGTTGAGCTCAGCGTCTCCTTCTCCTGTCCGTCCTTGCATTGAATCATTTTCTCTTTCACCATTCTCCTCTCTTCTATTAATTTCCAAGTGTCCGTTGAGAGCCATTCCTTGTCTTGTCTCTTCTTTCATCCTAGAACCGTTGAACACGTTTAGTTGAGAACCGCCTTCAGAGATTTCCAATGTTCTTCCAAGCATGATTCTTCAGTGATGTCACGTAGTGTTTCCTGCTTTGCTCTGACAGTTGCAGTGAAAGTGTCCTTCAGTAATTGAGTGTTGAACTTGCATTGTGGCCTGTCCGCAGCTTTCCTCGATGCTTTTAGTTTCACATTGAAAGTCCCTTGTATTAGATAGTGGTCTGAGCCCACATCTGCTCCTCTCCTTGACCTTGTGTCCAATAGGCTCTGTCTCCATTTTCTTGAAATTGAGATGAAGTCTATTTGGTTTTTGGTGTTTCCATCTGGTGAAGTCCATGTTGTCTTGTGTATATCCTTGCGTTTGAAAACGCTGCCACCAATCACCAAATCAGTGAAGGCGCAGAAGTCTGAGTAGAGTTCACCATCGTCGTTCATCTCACCGAAGGCCTCTCGACCCATGGTGAGTTCTCTTCTTGTGTTGTCGCCTCCCAGCTTCGCATTCATGTCGCCCATCAGGATTTTGATGCCGCTATTTGGGACGGTGTCCATTACTGTTTGTAGTTGTCTGTAGAACGCCTCCTTCTCTTCTTGTTCTGAGAAGTTTTTAGGCGAATAGCATTGAATGATTGTAACCTTCCTTCTTTTTGAGTTGAACCTGGCTGTCATTATCCTGGAGGAGATTGGTTCCCACTGCATGAGAGCTTTGGCTGCTGTTGGTGACATCATGATGGCCACTCCCTCGGTGTGCTCATGGTTGTCCTCTGGGTGGCCGGAAAAGATTACTGTTTCTCCAGTAGGCAGTTGGCACCTTCCAGTTCCGTTCCATCTGCTTTCGCAGATTCCCGACATTTCTATTCTGTACCTTCTCATTTCAGCGGCTATCTGGGCAGCCTTTCCAGTTTCGTACATTGTACGAACATTCCAGGTACCCATCCTTACTTTTGCTTTCATCGAAAGAAGGCACATTGGCTGACTGGCTTCCCGAAGGCTCTCACCAGACTGCGTCATTTCGCTTCTCCGATTCCAGCAAAAAATAAGGCTATTGTTTATGTTTTTAAAATTTTTAATATATTTATTCGTCGAAGTTTCTGTAGCGATTTGGTTGTTTTACAGGGGTGGAGTTGCTAGCACCACGTCCCAACCCTCCCTCTTTACCCGGGCTTGGGACCGGTTAGAAAACTAGAAAGCTAGTAGCCTAGCTAGCTAGTAATCTGGCGAGGTGGAGGCAATTCAATTCACTTATGAATTCGAAAGTCAGGAAATCAGGGAGCTTCGTCAGTGATCAACCCCTTTGAGGGGGGGGGCTGGCTGATGCAACCTCCCAAATAAGTGAAGTGGTCGCTAACACACTCCACCAACCACTTCACTACATATTTCTAAGCCAGTTAGGAGTCAATGTAACCCAGTTAATCCTGTAGCCTCATCATCTTATATTTGACAGCAGGAGTGTATCGCATGCCAAACATTCAATGACTTCTGCTCCTTAAGGTGTTCAAAAGACTCTGCATTTCTGTCAGCCACTAATAGTTCCTTGTTCACCACCTTGTGTAATAGAATTTTGTCATGACTTTGTTCATGCATACTGTAGAAATAAACATATACAGCTATGTAATTACGATAACAGCGATTTACTCAAGCCCTAGACTTCAATCAATACTTTTGTTATAAACGATTTTCTTCTATCATGACCCCGAGTAATTTCATCAGCATTTAGACCTTTATAAAAATGAATTATAGAAGTTATACAATGTCCATTGTAAATTATCAATTTTCAGGCATATATACTTACCATATATGTGTAAAAACTTGGGCACTGTGGTAGTAAGTTATTCCATATTAGTCTGTTTAGTAGGTGTATCACACAATCAGTGGAACAGTATTATTCACTAGATGACATTTCGAACAAAATTTATTACTGTTCATAATCATTTCATCAATTATAATCACACGACTTTGAGACTTGAGTTTTTTTTGTCTTCATCTAGATATCTGGGACAATTGTTGAATCACTCCTATTACATGTATTCTCTCTCAGTTGATTCGATAAACTAAGCCTCAGTCAGTTATCAATCTGTCCCTCCTCCTTTAAAACAAAACAATTTAGTGCATCTAATACCCTGTCTGCAATGATTGTCAGGTCAAATACATAGGTCAAACTATTAGAACAAGGGCAATCAGACTAGCCAAACATAAAAACGTAGCAATATCTAGATTGGTCGACTCGAATAAGATAAGAAATCTAGAGAATAGTTCAGCCGTAGATAGCACTGCATGCAGTTATACACAACCATAGAATAGGATGGATGGGATAAGATGACAGTTTTTTAAAATCTAATGCAGCAGCAGGGTGGAGGGAGAGATTGATAACTGACTGAGGCTTTGTTTATCGAATCAACTGAGAGAGAAAACGTGTAATAGGAGTATTTCAACATCTCTCGCAGATATCTGGAAAATTCTACTACCCCAAAGACGACAAATAGGAGCGAACAAAGAAAACTGTAAAACTCAAGCTTCGAAGTTGTGTGATTATAATTGATGATATCATTATGAAGAATAAATTTTGTTCGAAACTGCGTCATCCAGTAAATAAAACTGTTTCAGTGACTGTGTGATACATCTAATAAACAAACCAGTATGGAATTACTTACTAATACAGTGCACAAGTTTTACACATATATTGCATATGGTGGTTTGACTTCAATCCATTTCAACAGTGCTCACACAGAGGTGCTTTACACCTAAGAAAGGAGAATCCAATGACTTCTCTGTGCTTTCTCCACATCATACTAACGAGGAGAGAGAGGATAGTTCCATTAAAAGAACTATATTTGGATAGCTAGAGATCAAAAGTTCAGTATAAACACTTTATCCGTTTTGTATCTACGAGTTACAAACACCACCTGACCAGGTGCTTAGCATATAGTGGGAGGTTGATTTGCTTCGAAGATTGTGTAGACAAAGAACATCAGGTCTTGAGGAGTTTATAAAAGCCAATATAGGTTATAGAAGTCGTAAAGATGAATTGGCAACCATGAAGAAAAAGCCATTTTTATTACATCTACAATTCAAGGAAGATACTCCTACGGAGGTTCTATCCTAACGTCTGACCAGAGCGATAAAGAAGACTTTTTGGCTCTTCATATCTGTCCGTGTATTTCACTAGCCGTTCAGTGTTCACTTAGAAACTGAAAGACGTTTTAGTTAATTTTAAATTTCCCTTATGCATATACCCCCTTTCTATTGCTCCAGTTATTCACGGCGTACGGTAAGGCAGGTATTTGCCTATGGATTCGGGAACGTTTACTAGCTTGGTTTAACAAAGGGAAAATGAAATGCATAAAATGTTCGATTTTGTTACAATTGATCGATAGTGAACATCGCATCGACGCCAGCATAGCCTTCACTTCAGGTTTATATACCGAAATGTCTAAGTCATTATCACGCATAGTTCGCCCACGTGTTTTACAAAAAACTAAAGCTGTTGCAATAACATTAACTAAATCGAGACTTTGTATTTGAAAAGAACACATTCAGATGGTGTTCCTACTACGGCCAAACTTAGATTAAAGTTTCTTCTTCTCACCAAGATTGCCTATTCTCCTTACCCTTTTTTTTATTTCGCTTCGTCTATCATTCTAGCATCCCCTAAATACTATCAAATTGTCCATTGATATTGCCCGGACTTATTATTAGTAGTATTACCCCTGTTCTCGACATATACCTCCATCTGTTTCATTTCACATATTCGTTATTTTATGATGAACAATTCACTGCAATCTTACTATCTTCTCTTAAATGTATCAATCGACAAGGTTGTGAAGTTAAACCGATTGAAATGGTTAGGACATATGTAACAACACATGTTTAGTCTAGCCATAGCTTACCTCGACACTGGGAAATGTTAGATAACATAGCAACAGGTTGGAAAAGAGGTAGTTAGCGGTGGTCAAACTAAACATGACATCGTCAGTCAATGAAATCCATAACAGTCAGTTTAAGCCAGCCGGCCACGTAGGAAGGTGTACACTTCCTGACTGGTTGAGGTCCTCGAGAAGGAAAACACCAATGAACACTGGAGACAATTGGTGATAAGGGCTCAAAATCCTCGTTCACAATGGCGCAAGTGCAACCGCTCCTCGTGACTTATAATTTCCAATAAAACAAATTTGTTCTTCGATATTACTATTCCTTTGTCTCATATCTCTGTTTACTGTCTTTATTTTGCATTTCTTTTCACTGTCTCCTCTTGCTTTGTTGGGTACATAGAGGTAGAGTGGCGACTCGAACTGCTGCATAACGGTGCAAGGTTCTATCAGTCAATCAGCCGGTAAATGCATACATACTATTTTGTACTAGCCACACACCTGACACCATTATCGTCTTACATTTCACAATATTTTTTTTAATTGCGTTCAACCCAGCACTTAAGTCACACAAGCACACTATTTATTTTGTTACTCTATGACTACTAATCCGTTATTCTACGTGAAAAATTGAGTACCTGCCGCATAACTGACCATTATTTTAGGCGATAACAAATATTATATTTTATATTCACGTGTAGGATCACGTGCAGGGATTTGACTAGTTACAAGATTTCATCACACGATGAGCTGATATCGGTTACAGAACCATTGGAAAACCATCTGGGACTACGGGACACTCATTTCATTCCTAGTTAGAGACTGTAAATCTTCAGTGAGCGCCCATTAACGGGGTTCGGACTCAGGACCTTCTGTGGTTACAAGCCAAACGAGCTTGTAGACCATTAACACCACTGAAACCCGACCATATCAAATGATCAGTCCATAAATACCAACTTCTCCCAATTCAAGCACGATATAGCGTAACTACAAGCCAGTCTTATCGGTGGCACGACACAATTACATTTTATGAGTGTAAAAACCTGAAGAGGAGAATTTATTCTTTGTTCAAATAGACTTTTAATTCAAAAAAAAATAAAAAAATACGGGAGTATTTCACACTACTATTGAAAACCCTAGAATCTATGGCAACCTTGGCTACGT